AGCTGAGAGGGGAAAGCCCAGCATCTCAATAGATGCTACTGGACACAAATGTTCATTTGCATGGATTTGCTGAACCCTGAACAATTTTCAGCAGTAAAACAGAGAAAAAAACTTCCTGACTGTCCTCTTTACAGAACTTCATTACCATGCTGTTCTTCCACACAGGATGGCCCCCAGGAGGTTTGTTCTGCTCCATGATCTTGGTTTACTGCCCATTGCCTGCTCTTTCCAAAGCACCTGGGAAGGATTTCTCTACTGCTGCTGTTCCTCAATGGCAGCCTGCCAACACCCCGAGGCCCTCTCCTTCTTTCTGAGAACTCTCCGCTGGTTGCACAGTCTCTGCTTGACAAAATTAAATCCACTCGTAAAGTTGAGGCATGCCAATCTTTTCTTCATTCGAGGTAATCAATCATTTCCTCTCTCTGCAAACACTTAGCCTTTGCTAGGAAAAACGATGAGCAAACCAGCAGCTGAATTCCAGGAACAGAGCCAATGGCCATCCTGATTTTGTGGCCAGGAAGTGTCCTGCAGATCACTGGCCCCTAACTTAAGATATGGCAACCTCAGGGAACGTGCAGCTACACAGTCTTTTCCATCTATACATCTCCAGTCACCTCTCCTTGATATAACTGCTTGCTGCATGAGTGTCCTTTCGTGGTACTTACTGGGTTACCTGCTGGGCCAGGTTCTCCTGCCAGTCCAGGCGATCCATTCTTCCCCTAGGTCAAAAGGAAGAAGATAAGGAGTGAAGTAAAATATACTATAATGAAAAATATCTACCTACTCTACAACAGAAGGGATTTCTTGAGCACTGTCCGGCCTCCTCTCCTCCTGGCACGCTACACAGTAAGGATCTCCTATTCTCAATTGACCCTATCGCTTTTGCATCCCTGACTGCATGGGCGATCCCATCTTAGGACAAAAAGTGAGATATGTGGAGCCCTTAGTCTGAAAACTGAGACTCCTTCTCCTCATCCCTATCGTATATTGGATCCTCCTGCATGGGTGGGTGTACCTACTATGGCAGCTCCACATCACTAGTGCTCAGACAATCCTTTTTTGCCTGTTTTGGAGCTGCTCTTGGCAACTCCCAGATCAGTGTCAAAGTGCTCTGCACTGACTGACAGATTTCTCCAGATCCCCACCCCTTCTTGCATGAGTAAACTTCCTCTCTCCAGTGACTGATGTAGGGCCTGGAAATCACTCCTCTGAACGGCCTACCATCCTCTCAGGGTTTTATTATCTGAATCAGAGTCCTGGAGCCAGGCACTTACTTTCTAAGCTGCCCTTTAGGGGGAACGGAGAAAAAGACACGCTCCAAAGACTTGATGCATCTGACCTTCTTTTGACACCAGAAAACTTGGAATGAGTCAAATTATCCTTTAAAAGGACCTACTTTTTCTCCTCATTATTTATAAAAGGACATGAGCTAACCAACTAAACTGCCTAAACTTTGTTGAGATGAAATTCTGCACCCTGTACCTTTCTCCTCCCAACTCACCATGCAGAGGTGCTTTTCACTGCACTGGAGTTGACCACGAAAAACAGGCCTTTTACTGGCAATATTCAAAATCATACCTCATGCTCTTTATTAGAGAGGAAGTAAAGCAAATGAAGAACAAGAGAAACCGAAACTTTGCCCTCCAACATCCAAAAAAGGCATCTCTTCTCCAAAGGGACATGGCTTGGCTTAGAGTTATGATAATTTCTGTCTCCTAAAACCTTTTTATTCATTGCAAGTGTTGTGCAGGGTCACTACATGCTCATGAGCGATGCCAGCAGTGCAAGAATAATGAGATAAATTAGAAGTTAGACACAAGAGCTCTCCATATGTTCCTGCAATCTAATCTAAACTCCTACCGTCCCAGCTCCGAGGGACCTGCCATTCCAGGTCTTGGCACTGCTGGGTGAGTCAGCATTTTGTCCTGATCTTGCAACATGTCGTGTAGTCTATTTCGCTAGCGTGTTTCCCAGAAGGAAAAGAAACCACTCTTATTTCAACATACTGAAGATGTGCCCAGGTTCAGCAACTGAGACCAGCATTCAAATTTGGAAAAGCGTTTATTTTTAAGAGAGAATTAAAAAGCCCAGGAAAAGTAATTTCTCAGCCATCTCAACTAGCCCTTTCAGAAATGTCAAATAAATTGCCATTTCTCCACTTAAGATGTAATAAAACTCTACAGGTGCTCAAATAAAAAAGAAAAACTCTTTTCCTAAAACTAAGCTTTTCTGCGGAAGAAAAAGTAGAAGGCATGACAAAACGAATGGTTCATTTTTAAGTATCACAATTGGACCCCAAATATCTCAAACTAGGCACCTGCAACTAGTACCTACCTTTGAAAACCACATCCTGAGGCCATATGAGAAGTGAATGAAGTGTCAGAGGCAGGACTGGAAAATGAGCGCTTCTGACACTCCGGTCTTGGCAGAAACCATTAAACAACCCTTCCCGCTCCCGAATCAGCAATCATCACTATTTGGCACTCCTATTAGTCCACATTAGTATTCAGCAATCATGCTGATCTATCTTTCCCAAAGTAAGTAAAGGTATTTTAATCAAATACCACCTGCATCTTGTATAAAACTCTTATTCCAAAATAGAGGTGGATTCCAGGATATTTTCATTATACACAATGTACCCTTCAAAACCTGCTTGTCAAAAGAGAAAACTCACCGGCTGCCCTCTGAGTCCTCGAGGACCTTGTGGTCCTATGGGACCGGTATCACCCTAAAGGAAGAAATGTATTCTGGTGAGTAAGAAAGATCTGACACAGAGGCAAGTCAATTATCATCTTAAAAGGTGCCTGTTGAATTACTCTGCTGATGTATTAGCGAAAACAGATCAAAGAAAAGTTTCACTACTTCCGTCTAGTTATGTAGGAGGAAGACTAGCCTCTTGAATTTGAAAAGTCTGTCTCTCTCCAAATGCAGTGTGATTGCAAGGAGAACCCATTTGCATCAGGTTATCCCCAAGCTGGATTTCTCAGAGACAGAGATTCTCCAGCATTTCTCAAGAACTGACTACTTTGTTCTCTCTTGAACTAGGTTTCAAACCTGCTTCTATCTTTTCTGAGTGGTTCTGCTTGGTCTGTCTTCCACTTTACCTTGTAGTGGTACCATTTACTGCACAACATTCTGACAGTGATATAAGGGGTGCAGATGAGAAACTACCTCCCCAAGTCCCATGGCAATGGCATGTCAGCCACTTGGCGCATTGCTCAGCAGCTACTGCAGGATCCTGCCCAAGTTACGTTCTCCCAGGACTTTGTTCTGTGACTGCATTTGAAACGAGTAACGTCAGAGGACCTGTTTATACTGTCTTTCTTTCCTCTGAGAAGCAGTGTCTTATTCCATAGGTATTTCTCAGATTTCAGCGGTGCTATTTGTGCAATATGGTACAGCTCTTGTAGAGGAAGTGTGACAGAATCTGGCCCAACGGGACTTGGCTGGATGCAGCATGGCTCAGAGAGGCGTGTGGCAGAAAGCAGGCCTGTCGCTATGCAGCACAGCCTGTGATTCAAACAATAGTTTTCTCTGCTTCTTCAAAGATATAGCTGACATTTAAGTGTCAGCTGCAGAGCAGTGACAAAAGCCCTCTAATTCCTTGTTACTGTAATGAGCTTTGCACAAATCATTCCCTGTGCACTGCTGCAATAATTTACCCTTTATTGCAGTTTCTGCTCCTTTTTTTTTTTTTTTTTTTTTTTAAGGCAGGGGGAACATTGTGAATGAAAAAATACTCATTTGTCAGGGAGCAGGGGATTAATTTCTGCTTGAAGTGGTACACTTACATCCTTCCCTGGTGGCCCCTCACGCCCAGCAGGACCTGTCGCACCTGGCTCCCCCTGCAATTCAGCAAAAAGGAAGGAGAAATCAACTCAAGGTCAGTGACAGACCAGTAACATCATCACAAATGGTGTGGGGTTTCGGCAATATTGGACTGAAGCTCCTAATTCTGCGGGGGCGTGAGAACTTTTAAAAGCCAACAGGAGCCTTGTACATCAGACATGACACACAGCTTATAAAAATAACTCAGGAGCATCTTCTGTAAGTGATGCACAAGATGGCGCACTGCTTTCCAGCGGAATATTAACTAGTGCTAGTGCAGTAATTGAAAATCACCAACGTACTCATGATGCAGAAACTATTTTAATGAGAAAGAGATGAGCAGAACCAGCATTGGATTATTCAGCTAAGCTCCTGCAAGTGGAGCATTTTCTTTCCCCATGGAAAGCCAGAATTAGGCAGAAGGACACTCAGGTTTGTATTCCACTTTCTATGCTGAGGAGCCTTTTGTGCTGCACTACCAACTCAGAACTGCAACGAGCCCAGCTTTTCATGCAGGACTTGAGTTTTGTGATTTATGACTCACAGGAAACTAAGCCAAAGGCCTAGCGACATTTCTATTCTCTTTTCTGTATGTTTTGTCTCTAAACGTACTCTGTATCACTAAGATGTTTTTTGGAGGAGATCTGATACTTGTCCTACAAGTGTTGTGGGGTTCCTCACCTTGTACTTCACCATTCGTACCACTGGGATGAGGTATAGAAGCATCCTGTCAAACTTTCTTACAAAGAGACATCAATCAGATCTACCAGCTCACCTTACCTGGAAGCAGAACTTCAGGAGAGAGAATGAAGACAGATGCTATGATTTTATGCCACAGGTGCAGCCCACGAGGTAGCGGTTGAAAATAGCCAGGTTAAACATAGACCTGTCATCATTTTTTCTACAGCTTCAAAAAGACTATTGAGGATCAACTGTTTAATCAACATAATATTTCTCCAAAAGACCATCCTGTGTGCATAAAGGGCATCCTGTGTGCACAAAGGGCATAGTACTTACCCGGGGACCTGGGGGACCTGCATCTCCTCTCTGTCCTTTGAAACCCTATAAAAGAGAATGAAATCAATGACCACCCCAATGCGTGAAGCATTGAGAAAGCTTTAGCTTTAATGTGCACTTAATAACCTTCCAATTTTGCCTAAAATTACTAAGAACTGGCCACCAGGGAGCTGCCATGTCCCAGGGAATGATTAGGAAGGGCTGTGTCCCAGGGACACAAGAGACCTTTCCATAACTCCATAGGCTACAAGATCACAGTGTACATTTTCCTGGTGCGACTGGCCCATATATCATTTAGCCTGTCCCTGTCCCTTCAGAGAACACATAACAGTGCACAAGAATTACAGCTGTGACTTTCTGGTAAAAGAGGGGGTCATGTGTTTTTTGCCTTCACCTCTTGGTGAAGGACTTACTCTGCTTCAGCTTAGCCTTAGTGTGAAGGACTTAGAAATGCCTGTGTTTGTTTTCTACTGATTATTTATGTATTTAGTCCCAATGCCATCACTGTTCTCAGCCAAGCCACCTTTTTGGTTATACTTTTGCATCAATAAAGGACTCCATCTGCCCAACAAAAGCTTACAGGTCATGGTATAAGAGTTACTGCACTGAACACTTTAGAACGGCACCTACCGGTAAGCCTCTGGCACCCTCCTGGCCAGGCAGTCCTGGTTCTCCAGGTTTTCCCTACGGAAACAATCACATTCGTATCAACAGGAGTCTCAAGTTCATCTCTGTGCTGCTGAAAATTCTTTCCACTCTTCTCCCTTAGATGTAACAACACTGAGAACTATGTTTGCTTAGGGTTTCTGCAGCAAGGTCTGTGTCCGAGTATGCAAGGAGGACAGTAGCAACAGAGACATGCTCATGGGTACCTCTACCAGTAGCGATGGGAACACAGCCGTTGAAGTTCAAAGAGCACTTGTGCCTTTGGACTTGCTGCTCCACGTACTGGTTTCCTTAACGACTGGGACTTGGCTCTTTACAGAACCACTAATGTCTATGCTGTGCTTTGACAAATCACATCAACATGTTAGCAAAGCCAGATACTGAAAGTGCATTCTTCTTATAACAAATATCGCTGAAGGGAATAACATTCTATGCCTGGTTTATTAGCACTTCCCTTTGGCTGGGCAACTTCCTGGTTCAGATTTTTCTCTCAGTAAATGCAAGTATAGATTAAATAGAGAAAATCAAATATAAAGTCCTCAGTCCTGGACAACAGAACAGTCACAGAGCATCCGAGGAATGGCTTCTTTGAAGACATCTCCTCTACGGTTTTTATCCCCCATAATCTTCTGCCAAAGAAATGGATCACAAGGTTTAATAGTACAAGACAACCTTATTTCTCTGTAATAGTTATTGTAGCTGTAAAAGTGGAATCACTAGGCTTTAGAGTATTTACGGTAGTTGTAAAAGTGGAATCACTAGGTTTTAGAATATTTATGGTAGCTGTAAACGTAAAAGAACAGTTTCCTCTCAAGATTTCTAGTGTGTGAATCTTATAAAATGCTCAAGACAATAGAGTCCTTCTGGTGTTAAAAAAAGACATGCAAACGGACTCCCTGGACCCCTAAGGAGTCCACAGATAGGCAGCTCCAAAAGCAATAACTGGATGCAGGCTCTAAAAGCCCGAGTGAAGCAGCTTTAAATTACATTACCGGTTCCCCAAGGGATCCTGGCTTGCCATCTTTGCCGTCATTTCCAGCAATGCCCTGCAAATGAAATGCAAAACATGGTTTAAGGATGGAGCTTATAAGAGGGATCAGTATGTTTTTGTCAGAGTGAAAACTTACAGTGACACTTGTGCTTCATCACGGTATACTTAAGTTTGCACAGTCCTCACTATTGCTATAGCTCAGCCATAAACCTCTCCTTGCCACACTATTGTGACAGCACAAACTGCCTCCCTTTCTAATACAGTTTCTCTAAGGGGTCTCCTTTTCCGCAAGGCAAGTACTCCAAAAGATTCTAAAAAAAGCATTCTAAAAACAGATTCTTAGCTGGTATAAATCATTATAATGTCATTATTTTTATTGAGCTAGACTGCTTTACAGTAGAAACAGCCCTGGCCTTATCCCCACAAGAAATAAAAACAAAGCAAAATGTTGTACTAACACATTTCCCAGAAGAAAAGAAATCAGATTCTATGGCCAAGATGCACTTCATCTTGAGTCAATGCGATGGAATTATTTCAACAGTGGATTCAGATAGAGACAATATTCCGGCCTATGAGTTCTTGTGCCCTTATAGTGGGAGCCCTTATGGCAGCTATTATGTCAAGGGACCTTGACAGGCTGGAGAAATGGGAAGAGAGGAACCTCATGAAGTTCACCAAAAGGGAGTAGAGTCCTGCACCTGGGAAGAAATAAACCCAGGCACCAGTACAGGCTTGGGGGCTGACCAGCTAGAAAGCTATTTTTCAGAGAAGGACCTGGGGGTCCTACTGGACCCCAAGCTGAACATGAGCCAGCAACAAGCCCTGTGGCAAAGAAGGTCAACAGTATCCTGGGCTGCATTAAAAAGAATATTTCTACTAGGCTGAGGGAGGTGATCCTTCTGCTCTACTCAGCACCGGTGAGACATGTCTGCAGTGCTGTGTTTCCAGTTCTGGGCTCCCCAGTACGAGAGACATGGACACGGTAAACCGAGTCCAGAATATCTCTCATATAAGGAGAGTCTGACACAGTTCACCTGAGAAGAGAAGGCTCAGGGGAATCTTATCCATGGGTATAAATGTGAAGGGAGGCTGTGAAGAGGGTAGGGCCACACTCTTCTCAGTGGTGCCGAGGGACAGGACTGGGAGGGAACCGGCACAAACTGAAACACAGGAAGTTCTATTTGGACATAGAAAACACTTCCTCACTGTGGGGTGGTTGAATGCTGGAATAAGTTTCCCAGAGGGGCTGCGAAGGCTCCATCCTTGGAGATGTTCAGAACTTGACTGGACATAGCCCTAGACAACCTGCCCCAGGTGACCCTGCTTGAGATGCAGGAGTGTTGCACAAGATAATCTCCAGAGGTCCTTGCCAACCCCAACAATTCTATGTGATTCTGCGTATTACTTGACTTTTGCGCTCTGAACAAGAGTATCTCTGCCAAAGAATGAGGAAGTGGATGCAGAACAGACCTATTTCATTTTGGTAATTAATACTTCACTTTAAAGTGGTCAAACACAGCATTCAAGCGGTTCTAGACAAAGGATATTATAGCATGAACGTGACAGGTACTGTTACAGATCATGCGCATTTTTCAAAGCACCTCCAAAACATCATCTGTTTGTTTTACATGCCCACACGTTTATAAATAATTTAATATGCTGAATGAGAAGGAGCTGACTTGTACTCACCGGAAGTCCAGGCACCCCTGGTGGTCCCTGTGGACCTGGAGGGCCATCTTTACCCTGAAAAGAAACCAGAAACACCGTGAGTCAGACAAGCTCTTCATACACTTCTACACTTCTGTCAGATGAAGACTTAGCAAATTTAGTGGTCAGAAGGAGGGAAAAGGGAGCACTGTGAGAACTGGGTCTTGCATCCTGCATCACACAGTGTACAAGGCTTCCCCGAAGTCACTCCTATTTAAACTGGAGAGTTTTCTTTTTACATGAAACATCCACTATTAGTTATAAGTTTTTACAAATGGAGAAACTACTAAAATCACTGGGAAGCTTTCTCTAAAGTTTAATTATGTTCAATACAGAGCGTTTACTTTCTTGCATGAAGGTGTCTAGCCAGGAAACAGAGGTTCTGTTTTTCACATCCATGGAGTCAGTGGTTATGAGAAGTGCCTAGCTGGTAGTCCTAAGAAAGAAATCCCCTCTAATTCTACCGGACTGGACAACAGCATCCAAGGTCTCTCATGCTATTTCAACCTTGATCATTCATTTGAAAAGGAAGTTCAGTCAGTCTGTGGCATCTCTGTTGAGAGTGCTCATTGATTTCACAATAGCCATCAGAAGGACCATCGCTGCTCACTGATAATGAAGTTTAGATTGAAATTAACGGGCGAAAGGTGCCCTGCTCATTAGGAAACCCTGCTCTAGAAATTAATCACATAATTACACAGCTCCAAACTGTTCCAGCTCAACAGCATGCATTACTCGAGCACGGCTCATCTTTTCCTCTTCAAACTGAAGTTAGCATCAACCAGATTCTGATCATATTAGCTGTCTCTTTAAGGGTTTTCTGACACATTACCATAAAATAACATGCAAACATCTTTCAGATAAAACAGTAATACAAAATTCTTCATAGACTTCTCAAAGGTTGCCTCTACACTAGTATTTTCAGTGGTGCCAGGGAATGTTCTCAGACCCTAGAATTTGAGCAGTCTGTGCCGTGACATCCTTCAAAAAGTCTATAGTTGGGTTTTGAGCATCCCCAGACATAGTTCGGGCATTAGCCTGGATCATGAAGCATCCTAACAGTTTAGATGCAGTCAACCTGTTCCAGAGGCTGACAGACATCAATAGCAAAGACAGCCCATTCAGCTGGCCTTATTGCCAGAGAAAAATCTGAGGCATCTTTAATGCACTAATACATACGCATCCAGCCCCTTGCTCTTCTCCCAGCTCCATACTGTCAATCTGCAATGATCTGAGAAACGGCAAGCATGTGTCCTGATTTACTGCTTCAGGCAATTTACTAGATGGAAGACAGGTACAAAACGCTCTTTAGAGAGTGGGCCCAGGGTGTTCTGAAGAGGTCACACAAACTGGACTTGATTCTGGCTGCTTTGGTGTTCCTTCTGGTGAGTAAACAAAACCGTAGGAACAGAGCAACCCGCTGCTATTTGTGTGGGTCCTAGCTACAGGTGCAGAGTTGCTTCACGTTGAATAACGTGGGGATCCTTCAAACAACATTACAATGGTTCCAATTTAGCTTTACTTTACAGAAGTAAAGCTAGGTAAAGGTAGTGGTTGAACATATAGCCTGTAGCTTACTGTATCTCCTGGGTTTCCTGCTGGTCCTATTAGCCCCGGTGCCCCATCTGGTCCCTAAATAAAGTAAAGCAGAAACAATGTGAATGATTGATGTATTTTGTATATTTGTCAGTGCACTCACTACCACAGATGGCAATACTGAAGTTTTCCTCATTTACTCATTTTAGCATTCATTCCTTTATTCATCACAGAAAAGCAGTGCCAACCTCTGCATAAAATCAGCCTCCAAAGCCAGAAATAGTCAAATATTTGAGCTCGGTCCTGGCCCTCCCTTCTGAAAATAGGGGATGATTAGGAAAAGCCAATCTTGTCACAAAAATAACTCTAAAGAACAGAAATGATGGGAGCAGTTTGAACCACACTCTGTGGAAGGCAAACTCTTGGAATCACGAGTCAATGCAGATAGAGGGAAAAGTCACAGCAAAAGCTCCAGAAAAGAAGATCTAGAGAAATATTGCATTTTGCTCTCCTTTGACAGGATCCGTTTTGCTTTGCCCATCTCCTTTCACCATGAGTACATTCAGAGGGTCTCACGGGACAATTTTAAGGGTTTTAATCTTACTAGAATAACAGCATGGCTGTGGCAGTAAACCTGTTTGCATTGCCAGTTTCTCCTAAAATAACGCTTCTCAAGATGAGATTGCAGGAAAGCAAATGACCACAAAGCAGGTCCAAGTGTTGTCCTAATGGCAAAGCATTCAGCAAACTTTAGGCACTGCTACCATCTGGAAACAGAATTTTAATCCAAGCCTCTTCTCTGGTGCCTCCTGTTGTTTAGTCAGTGCAATGCAAATGCAGCTTTGAAGACATCCTGCTGATCCCCAGAATAGACGAAGGCTGTACACCCGCAGGAGGACACAGCTGAATTGCACTGCAAGCAGCAATATGAGTAGCGACGACAGGGCAAAGGAGGCTTGGAAAGAAAAGCTCTTCATTAAGGAAAAGTCACAGCTCTTGGAGGGGGTAAGTGGTGATACCGTGAGCCACTTATTTCAACCTTCCTTCTGCAGTATCACACACCTTATGCCTTTTGAAACACAAAGACGCATAACCGTATTTGTGGAGAGAGTAGAGCTAGGTATGAGAAGGACTATGATGGAGAGGCACACATAGAAAAGGATTCTTAATTTAGAAGTAACCCACAGGTTATGAAAACTGGAGATAATCCAGTCTCACGTCACTGTATATTAACTAAGAACCGAGAAACACAGTTATATCTGCTACTTGCAGACTGACAACTTATTCTGCATATAAGGAAAGACCTATATACATACTACAAAGCAGTCTCTGTGGAAGAGTTTTCATCAACATTGGCTTGTATAAGAGAGAGACTGAAGCTTAGCATCAATTTACAGAGTGAGCTGAAGCAACCAGTGAAAAGTGGCTGATGTATTAAATAGCAGTTATCATGAGCAGGGAATTCTATGACACTCAAGGGACCATTCGGAATCCACTGGAAAATGCAAATTCCAAGTGCAGGCAGGCGAGAACGGCCCTTTCTGCTGCATGCAGGTTGCAACAACCTTTATTAGTAAGGAAAATACAGCACCATCTCCTTTGCAATAGGTAACTTACAGGTGGACCAGGGTTTCCAGGAGGCCCTGAGAAGCCTGGCATTCCAGGATGGCCCTGCAAAAGGAAAACAGGTTTTCTCTATGCATTATTCACCTCTTTATTTATAGCTATATTAAATGGTTATCAGGCATTGTGAGGTAACATCAAAATAAGACAATACGTAGACAACTAGTTATGAAGATACTATGGGTTTTTAAATTAACACTTTGATTTTCAAAGCATTTTCATGCATTTTGGAAATAAACACAGTTATATTTAGGGTGTATTTTTTCTACTGTGTTTTTCACTGCATGCTAACAGCAGATGAGAACAAACACTGTAGAATGAGACAAGGTAGGAGACCAAGCAGAGAACTAAAGCTGTTTAAAATATCTTAAAAGTCTCTTTGTAGGTGTTGGTTTGCACCCTGAGTTATCGGCTCAGCCCTTGGCAAAAGTTTGCTTTGATTTAGGTGGTTCTCCTCTCTCTTGAGGCATCTCAGTCTCTCCTAAAACAGGCCTTCCTTGCACTCATCTTCCAGGACTAATAGAAACACTAGCCTTTTCCAGTAAAGACTCATCTCCTGGATCTCATCTATGCATTAGCTGTGGAAACGAATGCAGGTTAGGTAATGTAGAGAACTGAATGCGTCCACTCTAGAAATGAGGAAACGGACCATAGGGGAATCTACCCAAACAATTGAAAGAAGGCTCTCGCTGTGGACGGGCAGGGGAGCCTGAGGAAGAGTGCTGTAGTTTCACTCAGGCTGTCCGTATGAAGTCTAGAGATGATGATGAGGGGCTCCCACCTTCCTCCTCTGCCTCCGGAAAGCATGTTCCTCTACCAACAACATGGCAGTTTTTGATGAAGAAGGAATCACAGTTACCGCACTGCTGGAAAGCACACACTTTTTACCTGCTCGCCTTTTTCTCCTGCAATTCCTGTTGTACCACGGTCTCCTTTAGCACCCTGGTAACAAATAAAGCCATTGAAAGTCGTTTAGATTCACTATCGTATCAGTCTTTTGACCATTTCGTAAAGCACTTGGACGCTGGTGCATAAAACACAGAAGCTAGGACTGAGTCCTGCTTGCTCTCCTCTTAAATTCTTCCCTAGACTTTCACTACTGATGTTGGAGCCAGAATACATGGCAAAAATGGTCTTTGATTAGATCAAGCATAGCCTTGTTTGTTTTGAGTTTTTTGAGGGAGCAGGCTGTTTTGTTTTGTTTTCTAATATCGTAGTCTCAGGAACATGAAAAGGACCTACAAATCCTTAAAAATGCACAAGTGGTTAGGCATTGAACTACATGGGTCTCTTTGGTACGGAATTATCTAGCCCAGTGAAGGCATCCGCAGTATGAGGTAGTAATCCTCTCTGCCTTCAGGGACAACCGTGATTAAAAAAAGACATTTCAAAGTGCAGTCATAAAATTCACACTGAGAAAGTGCCTCTCTCTCTCACCTTCTACTAGCAGCAACGGAAGAGAGATAACTAACTTGGATCTAGATGTCCATATTATTAATGCTTAAACTTACACAAGCTGAATCTTACACTTACAGCAAAAAATATCAAGACGATGGGGAGCAAATTATGACCTGAACAATGCACAGGACACTAATGTGTAAGGCTGACCATGGAAGTGATACTCTGGCTCATTACATGACAGCTAGGAGACAAGCGGGGAAAGAAGGGATGCTATCTATCAATTCAAAGAGGCATAATTCATATTACTAGAAGGAATGAAACTGGTCACGTGGCTAGAGCAAGGATCTGCAGTTCCACTGTTGCACTTCAGAACGGTACCCAATACCAATTTTATGGTGTAGTTAAGGACCACATACCCCATTTTCAAAAGCATAGAGCTTGCTGGGTCTTTCATCCTTTAGGACCTTCCTAATACAATTGGAAAGGAGTGCAATGACTGTCTTTGTGCTTGCAGCTCCTTAGGGGTTTTAGAACAATTGCTTTTAACATTTGCAAACGCTGTGAATTCATCTCTTTGCTCAACAAAAGTTCAGATTTCTACCAATTATTTGATTAATACTATTCACATATGCACTTTAACCTTGATGCTATTTCAGCTAAACGCTCATCCTCGCTACCCAGCTCTCTGCTTTCTCCATACTATATAAGAGGGCAGCAGAAGACGAGGTATATCTCAGACTGCTTAGGATTTCTACCAGCTATTGTAGTCATGCGTTACTAGTTATTTTGCAAATTTTAGCCTAGAGCAGACTCTCATTTTGATCAATCTTATATTTACTTTTGAGATTCTACTTCTCCTCCCCCATAATTTTAATTGCAAGGTGTTAAAGGTTAATTTTAGGTGTTAAAGGTTAATTTAACCTTGCAAAGGTGTTGCAAGGTTAATTTTAATTGCAAGGCATAATTTTAATTCACTTCTGAATCAGTACCAGGTTGTTATACATGCTAGTAAGCGCAAATACAAAGATGTTAAAACAGAATATGTTGTTTTAGACTGTAGGCCAGGAATGCAGGGAAGTCTGGAGGGAAACCACCTATGCTTCATGATGAAAACACCTCATCTCTCCCTCCACTGATTGGTTTTGATTTATTTCATATTAGGCAGTTGTAAAGGTTTTGATTGTAACCAGGCACTAGCATTCTCAGCAGACTGATAACAGTTACTCATGGGAAACGCTGAAATGTTACGTTATTAAAATCCTTCAGACACTGCAGGTTTGATGTTTGTCTCTGTCCCTAGACTGTGAGGCAGAAGCATTGCAGTTGAAACGAGCTGTTCTTCCTATAGCATGTTTCAATGAACATTTACAGGCTGTGGATAAAGCATCCGTGGCAGATAATGTATTAGGAACCCAGCAGCCCACTACGTCACCCTTAATTTAAAGTCATTCAAGCATACAGGATTCAAACAGGAGAGGAACATGCAGAGCTGCTGCTGCTGAGGCTTTAATTTCTTCCTCACCTGATCTGAATGGAAACTCACCCTAGTCTTTAGCTCTCAAAAAAATCCCAGGGAATGAATTGCAACATCAAGAATAAAGCCCTTCAGGGTTTTTGTGAACAGAGGCATAGTATGACAAAGACTGCATTTAAGTGAAACACCGTTCATATGGGAAGCTGTGCAGTTCTAAACACCTGTGACCAAATTTCACTCTAGTGAACTACCAGTACAGGGCCTGCCCAACAGGCAAGTCTTATCCCTTTATACAGGGATGGATGCCACCAAGATCCTGCTTCAGCCAGTGTGCTAACCAATCACAAGTAGATTTTGGTTAGGCAACTGAGAGAAAAACAACCAACCTTTGGGCCATCCAGCCCAGGTGGGCCTGCAGGACCTCTGGGACCAGCAACACCCTGCAATACAGAAGAGGTAGAGGTAAATACTAGTTTCTTGCTGATCAGAAAGGGAGAGTAAGTCAGCAATGACCCTTCACAGCTAGAACCGTGGAGTCGAAAGGTCTACCTTTATACTCAGCATTACAGACTGCTTTGTGCTCCAGCACAGGCTGTGTTGGTGGCATACAGTCCTGTTCACATAGGGCATCAGACAGGCTCATCAGCACAACATTATGTACCCCTAACTCTGTAGCTGGCTCTTTCCCAAATGGGCTACCCTTCAGGAAACGGCTTTGTTATTGCATTGTATCAGCGCCGGTTATTGTTGGAAATAAAAGATTTAGGGGGGAACCGTATGCAGAGTGTCACAAAAGCATTCAGTCTACAGGACTCTCCCTTCTGAACGAGCCTTGAACCAACCATGCTGAGGCCAGCATGGTACAACATCACCAAGATCCTGATTATGTGGAATAACATTCTCTCCGTGGCTTTTTACAGAAGTGATGGGTTTCCTGGAACAACGGTAAGCACCGCATTTTCCTCTCCCAAATTCCTCCTTGCAGCCCAAATCGGATACTTCCCATCTTAGTTTCTGTGTTCTATTCCCAAAAGGCAATGTTTTTCAATCAGAGTGGCAAGTTTTCAACCTCGATTAACAAAGGTATTAAGGTACCTAAAGTGCACTGAAATACATGTCTAAGTGTACTAGGAAAAAGGTAAAATCAAGATATTTCTCACAACTGCAATTCATGGACAATGAGCGATCAAGAACGCCAAAAACACACAAAAAGGGAGAGACATCCACTAGCATCACAGACGGCAAAAGTGAACCTGAGGCTGTAAGAAAAGGATTTCTAGGGATGTGAATAACAAAGGATCTCTGGATAGGAGAAACTCAGCATTTTTCCTCTCCCCCAGGTCTCACTCCCCACTAAAAAGTTTAAGGGATTATTTTCACTATGTATCACTTATTAAGAGTCCTTATCCACCTTCCTTCTTTTCAAATCCTCTGCAAAATTTATGCCTCTGAAACAGCAGTTCCTCCCAACTCTTCCCCTCAGGCATCCTTGTAGCCAACAGAAAATCCATACAATGATCACTGAGATTTCAGGAGCGCACTCCACTCACTCCTCAGTCACTGTTTTCTCTTTTCCCTCACACACCATTACCATTTCTCATTCTGAATAAGAAGCATGACTGAAAAACTCCTTCTGAGTTGTCTGGTATCTCCTAGAGTGCAGGAGATGGCTGGGAAAAGTAGTATTTTGTAGCTCCTAAATTCCATGCTGTTCTGGGAAGCAGTAGGTCTAATCCATGGAGCTTTGAACTTCAGAAGTGCAGAACAAATCCACCACTTCTACCTCTCACGTCTGCTGAGGCTCAGACCAGGTCAGAGGGAAAAAACACTAATACCAGTACCTGGGTTCTTCCAGCACAGAAAAAGCCATCCAAGGATACTTATGCTACCAAAAACAAGGCATAGAGAGCCTAGCAGAAGCTGAAATCCAGTTCACTGACCCCACAGATGTCTATAAAGGATTCAGTGCTTTGCTGTTGCAAAAGAAAGCAACCATGTAAAAATATTATAAGAAAAACAGGTTAAACCTCATCCAAGGCATGGCCATACTTTCTAGCTCTCTTACCATTTTACCATCCTGGCCATCTCTACCTGGTGTTCCTCGGAGACCTTTATCACCTTTGAAACCTGGAATGCCTGGTAGTCCTGGTGGGCCAGGGGGACAGTCACTGCACACATCCTAGGAGAGAAGAGTAACGTTGAGAACTAAACGAGCAATAGATTGAGGGCCTCTAGCACTGCAGATCCCAGCATTAATACAGGAATGTGGTGCTAGAAGCCCAGCCTATAGGCCTTTGCATTTTGACCATACTGGGGAGGATGTGGGTTACTTTGACTTGTAGAACTGAGGTCAAGGTAGCATGAAGCATAGCAAGGGTCAGCTCTGAGTTCACACAGGCTCCCATAAGGAATTTCTTACCAGCTGTGATGGACAACTCGTCATCCTACCTCATCATCCAAGCTCAAGAAACAAAGGAAAAGCTCTTCCTAACCAGGAAGAGAGGCTTTTTTTTTTTTTTTGGCCAAACAGCAAGACTACAAAGAACAGCTTTGTTTCTAAGCTGCAAGTCTACTATGAAACTGTGTCTGCACCAGTCTGAAAGAGTTGAGTTATGGCTCAGAGGGCAGATTGTTAGGCAAAACCCAGGTACAGCATAATGTCAGAAAGGGTGTTTCAGCAGGGAGGCTACATTCATCCACTGGAGTACATGAAGACCAAATATCTTAGTATCTTGGTCAGATTTTGTCATAAAGAATTACTACCTCTTTCAAACACTCTTTGAAGCATCATTTTGGTATATTACTTTTTACATTTCTACTGCTCTCAAAAAATGAAACACCGTTAAGTATGACACTCCTTGTTCAAAGACAGGCTCCCTGCAGCAAGGAGAACGAACCCTGCCTATAAAGGACAGCATAGCCCAATCGACAGATCACCAGGCTGGGAGTTCGGAGACCTTGGTCCAACTTCCAACTCTGTCAATGATCTATTGTAAAACTGTGGGATAACTATCTTTCAGAGCCTCAGTTCCCTGAAGCATCTTTATCTACTTATAATACAAGTTCTTTAGGGTAGAGTTGTTGCTTTATAATATGCTTGTAAGACACCTAGAACAACAGAACACTATCTTCACTCGGGCTCAGGGTGCCGCTGTCCATAGAGCTGTACCAAGCGTGGAGTGAAAAAGTGGCAAATAAAACAAACATACGGGGTGCATGAATGTGTTTAACCATAGCATGATCAAAGGAAGAAGGAAACCAACCTGACATCCTGCACCCAAGAATCAGTGTCTTACTACAGTCCTGATCAGAAAACCCAAGTAATGCCACACAGTAAACTCTCTGAAAAAATACTTGGTTCTTTAAGAAAGGCAGCTCTGCATGAAAATATTTCACTGTAACAATCCTAAAATGGTCCTTTTGTTAATGGGCTTTGTTAAAAAAAGTAATTATTTAGTTTCTTTTAATCAATAAGAAAGGATTTCTTGCCACGTCCCAAGACTGCTTAAAAATCTCCCAACTCACACCATCTAAATCTGTAAAGATTTTGTAGTCAGCAGTCCAGTCAAATACTGACTTATCAAATACTGACTTATTTCCCAGACAACTGTCTACACGGACAGCAAAAGCAGACAGATCATCATTTCTGAAACATGGGTGTCCCTGAGGTTAATTACCTACATCCTTTTAGATGCACTATGCAAATTGACTTTGCACCCACAGTTCAAACCTACTGCAGTCACAGTTGCAGGTGTACATGAAAAGCAGCCACTTCATTAAAGTGGTTTCCATTTTCTGCTTCAGATAACACAACCTGACAATATTTTTTTTGTTCTCCTTGGAATTGCAGGCCTCAGAATGAGCTGAAAAAGTCTCAGAGCTTTTGTAACAAACATGATGTTATAAAGATCCTTATAGGACATGTCACTGCTGGGGACTGTTAGAAGGCTCTGGATTTTGATCTCCAGTGCGCTGTCAACAGCAGTGCAAGCAGGAGACCTACAAGTTTCAAGCTCTGGCAGAGTGTTTAGAGGTACCTTTTTCACTTGCAGCTCAGACATTTTCACAACACAGAGCGTTAGTCAGGTTTGAATCAAACATACAGGTAAAATCTGCAGCCATCCTCAGAAGCTGATTACCTTGACTAAAAGATTTATGTCCTCTGGAGAGAGTAGGGGAGAAGAACCCTGTGGAATGAGAAATTCATTATTGGAAGCAATTTTGAAAGGCGAAACAGTATGAGAAATTTTCTAGAACATGCCTATGGCCTGGTACTTGTTCTCCTTGAGCTGCGCAGCACTCTTTGGGCCAAATTCATACTTGTCCCCTTACATTATCAATACTCCATGTCATACCTGACGTGCGCTGAACTATTCACATATAGGAAATGCAGTTCCTGCTGAGGGTACTGCACAGTGGTGCTAAGAAGTTGCCATTAAAGCGTTGGCTTTTATTTGTGTGCAGGACATTCAGTTATTTTAATACTGATTCAAATGTATCACAGACACTTTTACTATAACTCCTCGTTGATTCTTAGTATTTTTCCAGTAGCTCTTGTCAAGAAGAACAGCAGGGGAAAAACACTGAACTGCAGTTCTGAGGTGAGGTGCGCAGGTAGGAACTGAGATAAAGGAAGAGCAGAAGAAGAGCAGGACAAAAATGTTTGGGGATGTAATACAGAAGTGAAGGCACATACTGGTTTTCCAGGAGGTCCCCTTTCCCCTGGATTTCCAGGAAGACCCTACAGATGAATAGAAAGTAAAATCTGTGAGATTATCATACAATAACACCCTGGCTGCTCCCACACTCTGCTGAATGCTCTGGACTACCACACATTCCTACTTTCTGCCACTGAGCATCAGTTCTGCAGGTCTTTGCATGTGGCATTTAACTGCTTTAAATACTGGCAACATTAAAACTGGACCCTCTTATGACTTTGTCATTTCTTAACCACTACCTCCTGAATCTCAATTTTCTACAGTAAGACACTTAATTTCCTTAGAGTCAGACAATGTGTGAAATTTTTTTGTCATGTCTCCTGGTCATGGAAAGCACTGTGAACTGCAGTAGCTTTAAGTATGCATGGAAGAAGTTTTAAATCCTGATGATGCCTGGAACATGCAAAATCAAGGCCATGCTTTTGCACAAGCCTTGCAAACAGGTCCCTTGCACCTGAAATAGCAATAAGCCTTTTATGAGGTGTGGGGAGGGGGTACTGATATTACTTTTCATGAGATGAAGATGGAGAAATGAGCAGAACCTTTAGAATTTAAGGTCCGGGAAGTCATGATTTGGAAAAGGAGGATGTAACACCTAGAGGGATCTCTATGCAGAAGCCATAACATAACTGGATGGGTCTCCAGAAGGACCAGATCCTACCCACAATGGACATCTCATGCCTGTCATTAGCCTGCTACCCACTGGATCAGCCCTACATTAGGATGGAAAGGTAGAGAAACATCTAGTTTTATTTCAGAAGAACTTATGACTTTGGCAAATGGCTCCTCAACAAAATATGTTCAAATGACCATTTTCAGCTCAGCTCATTGCTGTGCCAGAAGTAACAATTGCAGATTAAGTTGTTAAATGAAAGCTGAGCTATACACAAGCAGTTTGATTATCACAGGGCCAAAAGGAGCCTGATCTTGCTATGCAGGCAGCTAAGGAAAATACATGCTGCAGCCTGCAATGAACGTCAGAGTCCATGCCTGGTGTTTCTGGTCTTGCCAGGCCATATCTCACAAACAGGTACAGCAAGGAGGTGCCCAAGGAGGTGTTTAAAATTCCTCTCAGTTTGCACTGAGCCCTCCTAATTCCTGATATTCTGGACTGACAAATTCTGAATCAGCCATCTCAGAGGTTGAGAATATTGCACAGATACCCAGGAACAGACTGTTTAAAAAAAAAAAAAAAACACACACACACACACACAAACACACACAAAAGACAAAAAACAAAACTCACGGATTGGGATCTTTTCATAAATTACTGCTTACATGGGGAACGAATCTCTTGAAGAGGACAGTTGGTTGCTGTCCAGATGGTGACAGCGATATCTACTGCCAGGATCCTTGCAGTGGTGTCTTAAACTGGACTGAGTGAGATTTCCCAAACCATTCTCTGCTGAATTCCTATAACCAGCTGGCTCGTGGTCCTACGTGACCACTCTAGTATATGCGTGATCCATCGTTATTGACTATCTTAAACTACCTACAAAGTATGCCCTATCTTAACCATGTATAAAAGGCTATCCTACATCCCCACTTTTGCATCTGCAGGAAGTTTCTACTGGCTATTTACAAATATCCTGTCTGTGTTCAGTCTGGTCGATACTGCAGCAGGAACCACCTGGGAAAGTTTCTGGGGCAGCCAGATTCTCCAGCCAGGATGTTAGTCAACAATTTGAAGCATACAAGTAGCGTCTCTCAATTGGTCTAGTCTCAGCAGGGACTCCTTAGGGGAAGCTCTGAGGATGTCCAAAATTTTCACCTGGAGAGCTCCTGTAAGAATTAGTAAGATGCTTTGTCGGGAAGGAGGCTGGGAGTTCTGTCAGTCACCTTATCTCAAACTGATAGCCACTGTCCCTCCTCAGTTCTTTGTGCTATCTACTCAGACAACTAGAAGGGGAGCTTCTGGGCCACACAGGGAATTAATGACTTAAGTGCACTTGGTATGCATAGGGCGCAGTCCTGAAAACCTGCCACGCGACAACTATAAGTATAGGACAAATGTGAATTTCTCCTTTGTGTCTCACTTTAAATTTAAATTCCATACCTCTTGACACAAGAGAGAGAAAATGGGAAACTACTTTGATTGTTCTCTTGCTATGTCCACACTAAACACTCCTGGGTGAATAACAACCCTTCAGCTACCTCGACTTTCTAAGAGATTAGTATTAAACAGGAACTGAAGTGCAGCTAAAGTGGAATTGAACTGGTATTGAAGTTCTATGGAATAAAATGCCTCTTTCCTGAGGAGCTAAACCTTCCACGGGTGAGAATCATGGAAAGATAAGGTCTGAATAAGAGAAAAGATAAAGTCTGAATAAGAGAAAAGATAAGATCTACGCTCATAATTCCCCACAATTGTCTTTTGGGGAAATTGAGGAGATATGAGAAAACCTTATAGCTGTTCTTAGTTTTGATGCTTCTACAGAACAGCAATGCACTAGTTAGAAGACTGGGATGTTTCCAAAGGGCCTTCTCTTTCACAGCCGCTAATCTTCAGGTCATGCTTTTGGCATCCTCTCCTCCGTGGTTCTCAGGCATTTCTGAAACTGGGAAGTGTGTTGCCTAAATAATGATTACGCAGGTCTTACATTGCCAGGTCAAAAAGACTCACACAACACTTGCTTTAAGGAATCTGACACAAATCAAAGACCTGAGCCATGAGAATCATTCTAGATCAGAAAGTAACAGAGAAAAGCCAATTCAGAAGTGTCTTTCACACTGATTATTAACATATCTATAAATAAACTATTTCTACCATAGGGCCTGCTTACAGTTTTTCACTTCGGGATCTGAAGCATGGTATGGAACTAGAGGTGGAATTTGAGTATTTAAGGAAGATTTATTTAAATAAGAGTATAGGAAAGGGTAGGTTAATCATGAGAAAAGAAGAGAGTGACTAAAACTGAAATGCTGGGAAAGATTTAAGCATGCCTTAGATATCCATGTGGCAGCAGAATGGCTTGAAGGAGATGGAGCTATTTTCTAGAAAGGTGTGTGACGTGGAGCTGGTGATAAGTCTTTAACAGCAGGCAAATAAGCCAGGATGAGAAACTAAGCTATGTGCCATGGTTGATGAACCTGAAAAGCTTTGCGTACCCTGGAAAAGTCAAACGGTTGAAAGGTACAAGACTGCAGGAGGAAAGTGTCCTTTGAAGAATTCTTGTCTGATCTGAAACGAACAAATCAGATGTGGAACAATGGCACTTTGGCACGTTGCATTTATCAGAGAGCAGGAGGCAATTGGAAGCAACGTCCAAAGCAGAGAAAGGATTGCTGGAATACAGAGGCCTGGAATTAGAAAAGGCTGTCAGGCGGTGCCAGGCTGCAAACATCACTCAGAGCAGAACGAAAACGCTAAAAGGAAGGTAGGGTATAATTACATCTGACAGGCTGACTAACAGAGGGGAAATTGGAGAAAGGGAAAGCTAGAAAAGAAAAAAAAAAAAAGTAAAAAAACCAAAAGAACTCAAAGAGTCTGTATAAAAAACTGGACAGCACTGGAGAGAAGAGCCGTTAATATGACGTGGGAACATACACAGACCCAACCAACAACCATCATTTGAAAACCTCAAAAAATTCAACAGTTTTTCAGGAGTTTATAGCCAACAGTAGCTGAGGTAAAGTAGAACGTCAAATAAGAAGACTGCTAAAGTGTATCACTGCAGGAAAAAGAAGTGAGAGATGAAGAGGTATGACGCATCGAATCCAGAATGCTCGATGTGCCTGCAACATCTGGCACACAAGAATGGTCTCAAACTCGAAACTAGTGAAATCTGCATACGACTAACTGCATAGCGGTGCTCAGATAAATGATGTATTTGAAAATAAAAGAGAATGTTTATAAGGGAGACCAGTCACACCAAGCAGTAAAATCGAAGGCTTATAAAAGTGAAGTACTAGTAAAAGACCGGCAATTAAATACAAAATGTAATAGTTTAAGTAGGTTATAATTTCTAGGAATAAAAAGACAACAGGAGGTTTGATAAGGGCACCTTGATTTGGGGTGTACAAACTCTAAAATAAACACAGAGACTCCTTGGTAGTGGCCTTTAACTAGATGAGTAAGCTCACCACGGAACAGAAAACTCTATTTTTCAGACCCAATAGCAGTAATGTACGCATCCACAAAGTTTTTGTAATTATAAAAATAAACGCAGGAGGAAATTAACTTCCTGGTGATACTAGAACTTAATTACCAGAAATAATTAACATAATTTTAAAAGTAATTAATGTTTATGTTAATTATGATTATCATAATCAAAAACCAGAAAGACCCCATCAAATAACAGTAGGACAAGAGACCGTCTCAGTCAGCGTGTGTATCAATTTAAGGGAACTAGGTAGGTATGTTGAACGGAAACATTTTCTCCTTCAGCAGACAGGGAGAGGAGGGTGGATGCTTTCAGAGAAATACGTTGAATTATTTTTTGCAACTCTCAGAGCAAAAGATGGATCTGACCATTTTCTCCAAAAAAGGCCCTGAAGGCTATGCTTTTTTAATACTCAATACAGGAAATATTGCCACCTTAAAATGAGTTTTGATTTTTTTCCCCCCCACAGGAAAGTTCAATGAATATTTGAAAGAACTGAGGGTATGAAATATAAATGATATATAATAGTCCTGCTGTGGAGTAAAGCAGCCCTGCTACAGAGAAAAAACAGTAGAAGACCATACAAAAGCCTCTGGAAGACATTTGTCAGGCTTTAAAAACTGGGACTTCAGTTAATCAAACAATACGAGAAAATATTAAATACGGGAGAAAGACAACAGAAAAAGAAGGCAACAGGTCCAGCTGTGCTTTGCTTTACCCCAGAACAGCCTGTAGGGATTTACAGACATAATGAACTTTGTAGTACAGCTCATACAAATAAGCTCTGATCCTCATGCTAGGACTAACAGAACAAAGCCAAACCTGCACAACTGTACTGCAAACCTGGGCAGGGAATTTCAAAATCTAAAGTTTAATAAAGCAAAATGCTATCCTGAGAAGTCTTTGACATTTGGTCAAGTTGACAACAGATGTTTCAAAAGGTGACCTGGCACACTAAGTGCTGTGGCAAAAAATATGGCACATTCTTCTAGGGCACTAGAGAGAGGCCAGAATGCATTCATGTAAAAGACAATCTATTCACTTATAGGAGATTATCCCAGTCAAACCTATCGCAAAAGAAGTATTTAATGTTCCACCTCCCCAAATACAGCTGCAACTCTGATTTGACAGTATCAGGGAAAATGACAACTTGCAGCAGACACGCTTTCAAGAGTATCTGATAACTCTGCAATTGGAAAAAAAATAATGCACGGAGTGACCTGGTGTATGTAAATATGGTTTGAAAGAATTATTCAGTCTCAGAAAAAAAACATGGAATACATTTGCAAAGGCCACAGAAAAAGACAAGACATTCAGGAAAGTCACTAAGGCTATTGCTAGCGAATGGTTTGGAAATTACATGGCAAGCTGATATTAGCAACTCAAATCACAGCTTTCTCTAACTGATGAGACACACTGTTTAGACACAACAAGGTGCAAAAGTGGGCATGCTTCAAAGAATACAGGAATGCTATGTAGATACAGAGGAGTGCAAAAGCAGAACCTGAAATACTTTGTACTCATCATAAATGACAGTGGAGATCAAGAAACTGCAAATGCATGATCTTGTCAAACTAGGTATCCCTGCTGCTATATCAAGAAACGCTGGAATATGCCCTGAAGTAAATGTAGCAATATGTATGTATCTTGAAACACAGGTAGAACCGCTTCCCAGGTGACCAAACAGAATACAGAGAGCTTCTAAAAGACATACTGAGTGCAATTAAAACAGTTAGTGTTATGGGATGTGTTTTATAAGGACTATAATGAATGGTCATGTTAGAGCAATTTTCTAGGGGGGAAAGAAAAGATGTAAAGATTGTGGTACTGCTTTCTCCAAGAGCTGACCAGTGAACGCTGATCTGAGCAGAGACAGAGTAAACTCAGAAATGCCAACTCTACGCGTTTCCTCATACCATATAGTTATAATAAACCTATAACAAGCCATCTATTGTATCTCCTGTTTAAAACTGTTTGGCTAAAAGAACTCAAACATCTGAGTTAACTCTAGGGGAACTCTAGGGCAAGTCAGGATAGACCTAACACTGAAGCTGTGGTTGCTCAGGGACAAGGGATGGTGGAGACAACGGATAATTTACTCTAACGATGATGGGGCGTGGAGGAATACCACTGCCATAGTGACTGTGTATTATGACAGGGGCAGGTGGAAGAAAACAGGACCTTCTTCTCCAAATGCTTTGGGAGGAAGGTAGATCCATATCAAACAAAAGCAAATCCTTTAGGCCAACTGGTGTACTTCAGTGAGGCCACGCTAGAGATGAAAACCATGTGCATGGACTTCCTGAGAACCGCTACCCATTTCAGACACATTTCAGCATCACAAAGCAATACTGAAGAAGGGTATTACAGAAGGCCAATATCTCTTCACATTCCAGTATTCCCTCAACAGGCACAAATATAAAGATCAAGCCTTTCAAAATCTTCTGAGCCCTCTAGCCAGTTTTCTCCCAGGACTGGTTTCTGCATCACAGAGCTGCCTGACCAGTAGAGGAGAAAACTTCTCTTCCCCTTCTGATTCAACACTGTGACAAAGTCGGGCAGCAACAGGGGTCAGCTTTCCAACTGGGAGTTTGCCACATTTTTCTCTATCTCTCAGCACCATGACTCACCCACTGAGATGGCAGGAGTTAGAAGAACACGCTGAGACAAGGTTAAAATGTCATCTCTCCTACACAGCAGCAGCAGCAAAATTAACTCACAAAAAGCTTTTTAATGGCTGTGGCCCTGTTTTCAGAGAAATATTGCAGATTACTTATTTCAGCTGTTTCTAATATGTTCCTAAACAGCTTAACAATCATCCTTTTCCAGTGTGGGTCCGTTCTTCATTGTCAACTGCCAAGTCCCTTCTCTAGTGTCATTTTAAAATGGCTCACTGATAACGCTTCCAACACTTGCCTTGAGGTTACTCTCCAGCCAAATTGGGTTTTTTTTGTTTGTTTGTTTTTTTCCCCCTGACATCCTGCAGAACATGTGAGAGCTCCATTTCTGGGAGCCAGCTCCCTTGGATCATCCTAGTAACACTCAATGACTGCAGTTTAGCGTGAGCACGATTTATACAAAAGTTAGATTTGAGCACTCTCGAGCGCTTAAAATTTTATTCTACTCACATCCTGGCCAGGAGGCCCCTGCGGCCCAGGGATACCAGGTACACCTCGGGGACCCTGGTAGGGAGAGAAGAGAGAAAGCCAGTAACATGAACAGCAGTTATCATCTGACTGTTAGCAACCGACTACATTCAGAGAGAGCCTAAGAAAAAAACTGATCCCACATTGCACAATTATCAGTCACTTCTGTACATCAAGGGACTTTATATGCATCACTAAAGGAAAGCTTCACACACCTTCATTGGTAAAGTAATAATGATTTTTTTTTTATAGGCAGGCAAGTTTATGAACAGGGAGGAAATATGACTGACAAGACAGGAGGACAGGAGAGGAGGAAAGAAGGTCCAGCTCCTCAGCACTGACCTAGTAAACACCAGGGCTGGCTACAGGGCTAGAAATTCATGCTAGTGTATCCCGAGATCACAGTATCCAGTTACTTGTTCCACACTAATGGATTGAAACCTTATAAAACTGTAGATTCATGAATTAGGGGTGTTCTGAGAATACTGAAAAATAGGGTTTTCTATAAGACTTAAGCAAACAAAATGCTTAAAAATACTTAACTTCAAACTTCTGAGGAGCCCCATCGATTATAAAGCATAACAGCGTAATTACATGCCTCAAAATACATTTTCTGAATGAATACTTAATCCATTAACACATTTTTTCCACCTGTAGGTCTGTATCGACAGGTAAGGAAAACCTGTCACCACACCAAGAGCCTGAATCAACCTTTCTCTCATAAACCACTATAGCGGAAAGGTAGTTGGTAATGTAAAAGCGAGGAGGTCGGGGTCACCCACCCTGTAACACTACCATCCTTACCCAAAAGGAAACAAAGTAAAAATGCATTTAAAAAATCACTGATAGAAAAAAATAATTCATTTGCTTGTCCCCTCCACATAAAATCTGGGTGTAGTTAGAAAGACATACTGTACCAATGACCCTTTGTCTCCCGGGGGTCCTACAGGGCCCTGTGAACAGAGAAGACACAGCAATCAAAATACTAGCAGAGCTCAAAATTAACATCTCAGTTGATTGATCAGAGCTGGTTCCAAAGTATAGAGATAGTAAAAAGTAGAGAGGGAAACGTAGGAAAAGCAGCAAGTTTGACAAGAGGCTCACCCGGGCCTGATGGAACAAAAGACTAGAAAGAGAAAATGAAAAAAACACAAATCTGAAGGAAATGTGGGAGCTCAGACTAAGTCATGAGAAGAGAGGCCAGTGAATGACTGCTCCAGGCAGCCAGCAGGATCAAGGTGCAAGGTTACATGATTACACAATACTAATGGTGAACACAGACCCAGTGAGGACCAGGAGAAAAATGACATGAGGAGGAACCCTAGTAACCCAATCAGTGAAAACCTCATTAGTGAAAACCAGAGCACTGAATCTGCTACTCCTAAGACCATCAGAGAACAATTAGACCACTGTCGCTGGTGTGAAACCCACTAGAATGAGTCAACTAAAGAAAGCATTCTTCAGAGAAGTCCATGCAAACTAAACGTTATTGCCTACAGGTGTAGAAGACATACTGTGGGAAATATGCGGGAAAGAATTTGAAGTCTGTGTAAAACTTAACTAGGGGATGTTTTAACGAGATTGTGGGAAAGTGCAAAACTTAACTATGGGGTGTTCAGGGAAAGGATTGAAGCTGGGGGAAGGGAATGATTGAGGTGGATCATGGAGGAACAGGTATGAGAAATAGAAAGAAAAGGGATCAAAGTGGTCAGTTATGCATTAACATGTTGCTGGTCAGTACGCTTGTCTGACTGAGCTCTGTGCTTGATCAGCACTGCCTGTCCTATATTCTTATCAAATTCTGTTCCTGTCATCAGTGTGGGCGAGCTCATTATTCTGAACATTAATAATCTTGAAGGCAGACTAGCTGGCAAGTTGGAAAGGTCTGAGCGCCAGCAACTGGAGTGAGAGGTTGGGAGCCCAAGGGGCTCACCTCTCTGGGTGCCAGAAACTGGAGGAGATCAAGCTCTGGGGGCTTGGTACTGGGCAGACTGAGACCATCTGATGGAGAGACCCATATTGTGTGTGCATATTTCGTTAGTCGCCCTCAGTCAGAGGGGAGGAGCACGACTGAGCCATTGTCATTCATGTTTCTGTGAGTGCTGGTTAGGTTTATATGGGTGTCGATAAAGGCACTGTTCTTCGTCTGCATGGCCGTGCACGTGTGTCTGTGTGCGCTGAGTGTGCATGTCCCCGTTGGGAGTATGTGCTCAGCCTCACCCTCACTCCAGACTGGACCTGGGGACACAGAACTGCAGCCGTTGGGCTGGCACATGACAATCCCCCTGGGTCCCAAAGCTAACTGTATTCAGCCACCTCTAACACAAGGAAAAGCAATCCATAGGACCAGCACGCTCTTCAGATAAGGTCAAAGCAGAGAGTCCAGTGGGTTTGTGTCTGCTGCTCATCTAGCGTTGCAACTTAAAAAGGTACTACTGAGCACACAGGGCTCAGAAGGAGGCATGCCCGTTCTGTAGGAATACGATGAAAGTGATGTGGTACCCATTTCCAGCACAGATGAATCAACTTGGTGTCCAAACACATCCAAAACAAGGCTTGACCTCACAGCTCCGAGGTTGTGTTTAAATGGTGTTAGAAAAGCAAATACTAAGTCTAGAGACATCCTAAAAAGTTAGCATTTATCAATTAGTATCATACAGCAACATGATTTACCATTTCAAGTTATTTTCCTGCACTAATTGGGAAAGTACTGTACTTAGATAACCACTGCATGGAAACATTAGCTGGGGCTGGCTTTACTATTCTGCCATAGGTATAGTGTCAGGGGGTGTACAAAGGGCTGCAAAAGAATGCAAGGCCTCTCATGTCCTCTAGCAGTTACAGCTAGGAATAAGGTTTGTTTCCTCCTAAACATGCTTCGCTTCCACATTCACTGTATATCTGGAAGCACTCTCAAATCCCCATGATCTCAAGAGGAGTCGTTCACGCCAAGTAGGCAGAACAGTCTGATCCTGATGACATGAAAATCCAAACTTTCTGGAACAGAGCCACAGATATACCTCGTGGGTATAACTTGTACCTACCAAGAAGGGTACAATCTCAACATTCACAGTAGGAGGCGAAGGCATAACTGGATAAGGTCTCACTAAACCTCTGTGGGAAATGATGGTGATGACGGCTTTCTTGGAATACAGCTCTTTAATCAACCCAGTTTTGTATTTATCAGAGCACTGACTGTCACTGATGCGGGCACAAGTGTCACACCCATCCCTTCTAATGGGGTGAGAGTAAGGTTAAATCTCCCCGTTAGCCCAATCCTTCTGGCTCAGTACAGATCTTGGATCACATCCACAGCCAATGCATCAAGATGTTGCAGGAAAGTCACAAGTAACACACAGCGATATCAATCACTCTGATAGCACTTTCTTGTCTTTCCCTTTCAACTGAAAAACAAATGTAGACAACACGTGTAGACATCTGAGCCACGAACGGCAGCCTCTGGGATAGTTTGTAATTTCAGCGGGTAAAATGTCCCATAGGTTCTCGGCACAGCTGAGCACAGGGAACCCATTCACTGGTTGGCAGTGGGTAATTTTTTATCTCATCGCAGGCTGCAGCAGGATCTGCTACTTACAGGGGGTCCAGCCAGCCCGATTCCTGGAACACCTCTATCTCCGGGCTGCCCAGGAAGGCCAGGAGCTCCTCTTTCCCCCTAAAATGAAGGAAGAAATTAAAGAACGTCCAGGTTTTGCGCACTCTTGAGAAAAACGTGTTGCAATGCAATAAGGATTTACAAGAGCGTAACACTGATACATCCTGCACTGACCCTCTCCTCTAAGGAGCCGTATCAGGTTGCGACAGCTTGGGGACGTGGGACAGCTAAACTGCCTCCTTCCTTCACATGGTGTCCCAGCCCACTTCAATGAGCGCTTATCCAGTTACGATGTACAACACATCACGTAACACAGCAGGAACAGAGCCTCTGCAAATATTTTAGTTTAATCGGGTAGATAGCATTCGACTTCCAAAAGCACACCCTTCTGCTGGGCTGGTACCCTGTACTAACTTGAGAACCTTCGATATTTGTTGAGACTTGTGTAGTACTTCTCCTTTCATGGGGTTTTACACTTGCATTTCAAACTGCCTGCAGAGTATCAGGCACTCCTCATGCTTTTGGGAAATACTAAGCATCACATGGTGCTTTTCTTTCTCTGCACTTCTGTGGTAGACAGCTAATCTGCAAACAGAGCTAAATACAGATTATTTACCGGGGGAAGACAGAACTGGAAGTGCTGGGTTACATCTTAACATTCTCCTTTCCTTTACCAGGATAGGCCTCTTCACAGCAGCATACTAGCAGTACTTTTTCCAATAATCTAGTGGTTCTACCACTCTGAATAGCAGACTATACCACAAATGGAGAGACTTCACTTCTAGAAAACGGAATTTTCGGTAGTAAAAATTGCAAGGCGCAGACAACCATTTGACACTGTTTAATGGCAGTTATAGACAGAAAGTTAAGAAAGAAGAGAATGTGTTCAGCTACAATACTTAACTTTAATGTCTGTTCTCTTGTTATATGGAGAAACACCAGACAAGATTTTTATTGATAGTACTGCAGTTGTGAGATTCAGTCTCATGTTGGCAATTGAATTATAACGACGAATCTTATTTATGTTATTTATTATTATGCTATTTCCAGCTATTACTCTAGAAAAAGTGTTGCTCGTGGATTCTGCCTACCCAAAAGTCAGTTTGCAATATCTCCTACTTTTTTTCTCTTTCTTTCTTTTTTCTTACACTAAGCTCAGTTTACAAAGAAACAATACTGCAGTTACAGGAAATATGTTTTGATTAGTTAAAAGACTCCAGCAGATTCCTGATCCATTATTTTGTTCTAGAACATAATTTCAATACAAAAAGCTCAACCCTATTTTTGCATGCACAGTTCAGATTCCTATCATCTCATATTGATACTGAACAGTATACTTCATTAGGTTTCTTTCAGTGCTTTTTTTGATTTTTGTATTAGTTCGTACGCTATTGTTGTGCCTGTGTTCTGAACTGTCCAAGATATATACAAACAGAGTAAAATGTATTTATAAATGCAGCAACACCAAAAGGAAATGTTTCAGAGCAGTTTGATTATTTCAAAAACATGGGACCTAGACGGATCTGTTCTTACATTGCTATATCCCTACCTGTATCATTATACAGTCTGTTTCAACATCCTATTCATCTTTCAATCCTGATCAGGACACAGTCATTGCAATGAAGAGAATTTTTGTCACATATGTTTCAAACACAATGCTTAGAGAAACAAGCATTTTTGTTGTTTTATTCCTTTCTCTACTTGCTGTATACTTTTAAGGGAATAAACATTATTTTCAATTAAATAAATTAATGCTGTTATCTTTAATCAACTAGCTAATCTTTTTCTTAGCTATAATATAAAAGAGCAAACCAGTCCCACTGAGAAATAATAGATCTTCTCCTTGAGACAGGTGAAAGAAATAAGTGGCATAGAGAAGTGCTCTTAAAAGTACTGACGGGTACTCTCAAGTGTAGTTCATCCTGTAAGCTATGCCAGTGTCTCTCTTGTTGCATGGATTAAAGGTCACAAGGGACAGTTTGCTTGAAAAAGTGTGCAGCATTTAGCTTTTAGTCTCAGTGTTGAACTCACATAATGTTGGAAGAAAAAGTAAGTACGAGAAGTGAGCACAGTTAACTCATATCTCAATATTCGCACCTACAGAGATACTGGAAAAGTAAAAAAGGACCTCTCCCTCTCTAAAAGGCTAGGAAGCTTTTGCGCAAAAGCTTCACCAATTCTATTTTGCACTGAAAAACAGGCTAACTTTTCACCATAGTTTTTCCTCCAGTTCCAGCAATGCAGGGAAGCAGTCCACAATGAACAATAAAATCAAGGCTCACCTTATGCCCAGAAGGTCCTGGCAAGCCTGGTGGGCCTCTTTCTCCCTAGAATGATAAAGTCAAAACCAGAAAAGAGTCAACACATAGCCAAATAGGAGCCTGCCCTTTGAGAGAGTCAAAGCAAAAGGAGTCCTCAACACCTTACATCGTCCTAACAATATTTTACTGGTAACTTGTAAGCAAATGAAATAATCTGTTAACTTGGCTAGAATTACGTGCTTTTAGGGAACTTCTTGCAAGCTAGGTATTTTTGTATTGGTCACAAGGACTGATACATCCACGTGGTTAGTCCCTGCGGAGCTATCCTTTTTGGATGGCCTACATGGCACGTTGAAGGGGGTTTCATGATCAGCCTCAGCTCTTTCTCCCTTTGGATGGTGCAGTGGGATCCATAGCATTCTGAAGAAATAAGCCTTTGCTGTCTTCAGGTAGACAGTCTGTAAGCACTTGTGAAAATTCAGCCTAACTCCATACCAAAAATCTATCAGTCCCCTACAGAAGGCATGTTTGTCCAGCTCACATTGAACCCAGTCCTTCGTGAGTGCAGAGCTTGCCAGCAGTTTACCTGTTCTCCATCTTTACCCTTGCCGGGCCCACCGGGCTCTCCAGCAGGTCCTGGCTCACCAGCTGGACCGGGTACACCTGGTTTTCCTTCTTTTCCTGGATCACCCTGTAGAAGACAATCCATCAGACCTGTTAATCACACCCTAAAGACCATTTATGTCTCAGATCTTTCATACAGACTAAAAGCTATAAATGTTTGTCTAGCCTTTTCATCTGATTTTTCCTTGGTATTATAGAAAGTCCTCTTTTAAGGGAAAACTTTTTCTTTAGTAATCTCAAGGCAGTTGTAATTTTGCCTAAAAAAGGAAAATAGTACAACAAAATACACTGAGAACCAGCCATATCAGAAAACCTTTGATTCATGTATGACCCTGAAGCACTTATATTCAGATGAAGATTCTGAGTCAACAGCCCAAGGTGTCAGAAGAAGGGAAGAAGGGAGTCTGTGCCGGAACATGGTCAGAAAGGGGTCCTTAGTGGGAGAACTCCCTGCCTTCTCTCCTCCATCAAGGTCTTGCCTGTTGGAGCTCAAGGACCCATTAGGAGTTTCTGGAGAGCATACAGTTTGTGAATGAGTCAAAGACTCAGCTGGATCTTGGTAATATGTAACACGATTTGACTGGAAGGCGAGGATTGCACCCCGATTTTGAACCTGCACCCTGCATATATGGGGCCATGTTTCTAATTAATCATTTATACTCCAGTGAACAAAGATCAGGGCTCCAGAGTGCTGGGCATTGTGTAAAGTAGCAGCAAATTACAAATCCCTGACTCAGAGAGCTCACTGTCTAGCTATGAGATAGGATGTAACAGTTGGCAAGTCAGACGAAGGCAACGAAGGGTTCACTGGAAAGCTGAAGTAACAGTACAATTACAAGCGCTTATCAAGAGAGCAGAAAGCTGTTTCCTAATCAATGAAAGTCAGTTTTCCTTCCAGTTTTGGATTTACAGCGGTAAAGAGGCATCTCAGAAGGTACTCAAAACACCAAATCCCCACTCCGCTCAGGTGGTGAGGACAGCAGATCATCATCTTTGCATAAATGCGTAACACTGACTTCACTGTGTCCAGTTCTATCTTAGCCGATGTATTAGGTAAATTAGAAAGGTGCAAAAGGGTGAAATCCTTATAGCATGTGTAATGAAGAAGGTCAGACAAGATGATCTAATGAGTCTGTGCCTTCTAGCAGTCTGTAAATCTATGAAATCTTTTCACAGTTTGGACTGCTTCTCTTGCAGGTTATTTAAAATGCACTTTTATCTGGCCAAGGTAAAAAAAAAAAAAAAAAAACCATGAAAGAACAAACTCACCTTTTCCCCCTTTTCTCCATCCTTTCCTGGTAGCCCCGAGCCTCCAGGCATTCCCTGGAGAGAAAAGAACTTTAAGGTTTAAAACTTTCTTTTTAGGCAACATATGATGCTAAGGAAAATGGACAGATCAATGCGTTCAGTACAGTATAGCTCAAGGATTAGTATCAGTTTTATACTTCCCAGTTCAGACAACCTGTAAGCCAGAAAACAGCACAGAAGAGCTGTGCACCAAGTACTTACAGGATTTTTTTTGTCAATATAAAAAAGAACTGGGCAACTAAAGCAAAAAGCAAGTTAATCCCAGATTTGTTCATTCTCCTTTTACCAACAACTATTTTTTTCCTTCTGTGAAATCCTCAGCAATTCCTGGTACATTACAGGCAAACCCCAAATCATCAGAGAAGCCAAAAGTTTCCCACTATTCATTTTTTATGCCTAATGTTCCACAAAGTAATGCAATGGAAAATCTAGCTATGTTTATTCTACCTTCCTTTTTTGTTTTCAAGCTTCTTCATGCCGAGGCAGATCTCAAAGGAATCCTCGTCAAAATATAGGTGATTTACCTCCAAATCAAATACTGTAACTTTGTAACTTATCAAAATGGGGCTTAGTGTTATGGAATGGTTCTCCACATTAGGAAAATGTGAAATGATGGCTTGGCATCAGGAAGATTGCATTGACCTCCTCACAGAACTGATGAAACAATTATTTTCTTTTCTGCACCAGTAAAAATGATAACCCCATACACTAGTTTTCATAGGTACAAATATACCAGCAGCAGACTCAGAAGTTTGCACAAAGGAGTATGATATGGGAAAAGGTCTTCACTTTGGCTACCATTCCCCAGTCTGAAAAAAAATTGCTGGATTAATACAATCAAATCACTTGTAGAGAAGCAATGATTAGAAAGCTAATTCAAGAGTTCTGGGATTGCCCAGTTTATAAACTCTGCCTTAGAGAGTCCTCTGCACTAAATCACTGTGTCTGAATATGTTATAACACTAGACCTAACTGCTGTTTTTCACTTAGAAGTCCACAGGAGCCCCAAGCAATATAAAGAAGATTACACTGGTGGAGCAGGGAGTAGAATTTAGTCAGATTTCTACACAGTTTTGCTCCATCATGCAAAATGTAACGATGGCGATGAACCTCTACCTATTTAAGAACACCACTGTATTGATTTCAAGGCTCTCATCGTAGGATCAAGTATTTATGTGCTCTCACAATAGAAATGGGAGCCAAGTATCCAATCCCTACATCAAGGAGCCATGTTTCCAAAAGGGAGGGCAAATGGAAATGAGGAGCAGGAAACCAAAACAGAGAGACAATATACACTGGAATTTTTCTCTTGAATAGCTGGCAGCAAACAATGTTCTGGATAACCTGAGAAGCAAAGAAACAGCTCCATGCCCGCCTCCTTGCTACAAATGAACATGGAAATAAGTTGCATGGAACAGACGGGAAAACAAATACACTGGTACACACATACCACATTTCCTGGTAAGCCTCTTGGACCTGGGGGTCCTGCTGGTCCAGCTGCACCCTGTTTTAAGAAAATGAAACGTGTGTGCATATATAATTCACAATGTGTACCACCAGAGGAACAAGAAGCTCCAAATGATGTTACAGTTCCTGTCAGACCAGGTGTTGTACAAGAGTAAAGCAAAAAATAGCGTTTTTGTAAAACACTTTGTAGTATAAAGGCGGATGAAACAATACAAAATGGATGAAGACTCACCTTGGGAACTTAAAATTACCCTCTATCAAAATAAATCCTAAATCTAGCTCAGATACAGGAAGAGAGGTCTGATCCTGAAACATCCAAAGAACAGAGGAAAATATGTTGATTTATCTTTAAAATAAAAATCTAGGTCAACAGAATATCCTTCGCTGACAATTCTACCCTTCTTTACTTTGGGGAGCAATACCTGAAAACACTCCTTTGCACAATACAGATCAACAGCACAAAGCATTCAGAATGCTGAATTTCTGAACTGCAAGTCTTTGGCTGCAATTGAAAGCTTTTTAGGATGGAAATGTCCAGGATCTCCTAGTCAGCAGAGGTATATGTTTGGGCTTACCAAGCTCTGTTTAGACACTTTCCACTAGACGTAAGAGGTTGAAGTTGTTACCTCTGCAGTTGCTCAGCACCCTGTACTGGCCGGGGTTCATCAGCCATCACAGCTTTGCAAGCAAAAGGAATTCTGTTTGCACTCCTAGTGCATTTGGAGCTAACGCAGCCAGACCATCTAAAGACTGGGTAGTAATATCTTGCAGAAGGACAATGCAAACAATTGGGAGATGATGAAAATCTTCCACAGCCAGCACAGGTCTTCACAAAGTGAAGGTCTTATCTGTCACCTTTGGCTCACTACAGGAGAATTAAAGTTGTCCTCATTTCTGTGTTATTCACAGTCACCGATCTACTAGCCAACAGGAGTATGCGCAACAGTGCCAACATCCTTCCAGCCACCAACTTACACGAAAAAATAAGATCAGTGGATAGATCTGAGTTTGTGGGCAGGGGTTGCCCTTACTCTCCTCCCCTGCCCCCCCTCCCCCAAAAAGGTTATGGAGTCCTTCAACTGAGAGCGACAGAGAGCTGCGGAGAGATGAGACAGGAGGTTCAGACTTTAGGGTGGAAGCATTGCTAGAGAGAACCTCTGAGCACAAACCCAAGAAGGAACACTGTGAACATGAAGAGGTGAGAAAGGATTTCAGCTCTGTTTCATCTGGATTTGCTATAGCTTCTTTCTCCCAGACACAAACATCCTCTCTCCAAATCAGGAAATATTTCTTCAAACATTCCCCTTTCACTCATTACTGAAAAGGTATGTGGCATTTTATCTGGCCACAGAGGGCTTATACCCTGTCACAATAATAAAAAAGGATTTGAGTCCTTTGCTGCTCTTCAGCACACAGTCAGGCAAGAGCAGCACTCTCCACAACAGATCCCTCAAAAAGCGGTACTGGATGATTCTTCTGGTGACGAGCCTTTATTAAAGAATGCAGAATTGACTAAGAAGCCTAAAACCAACCATGATCAAAAACTAATTCTGGCTGATGAGAAGTGAGTTCTCTGCACCAGATGGCTGTCTGGGCTTGGCTGATATCACAATGCAGTAACAAGCTCTGCAGGCACCTCACTCAGAAAAGAGGGCATTTTATTAGAAAAGGAGAGACTTGACACACAATTTAGAGCTGGACTGATTCGGGCATTGATCTGTTTGGTGCAGCTGTGTCTATTTGCCCACAAGCAGCAACACTTCTTCCAGCTACAGCTTAGGATGTGCCCCCGTGCACAATTACCCTGGCACTTCAGAGTCCTTTCAGGTGTGTTACTGATGGGGGAATAATGCTCCAAGTGAAGCAGTTACTTACAGTCTCTCCAGGGGCTCCAGCTTCTCCTCGGGCTCCTTTCTGCCCCTTTGTGCCCTGCACAGAAAAAAAAAAAAAGGAATTCCAGCTGATTAGAAAAGGGATGGAACTGCCTGCCAGACAAAAAGACTCCGAGTCTTCATGACGCCTGAACGTGCACTAGGCAACAGTCTGAGCTAATCAATTCACAAAGTTTAACGGCTGAGGAAATGGCTCCCAGTTCTCTATGCAGCAAAAAAAGGATATAAAAATAAAACTCTGGGACATAAGAAGAATTACTGATGACTGATCAGCTCACAGGCTGTTTCTCAGCACTCAATGCTGAAACTTGCAGATATCCATCTGGGTGAAACTCCTTCCTCTCCTCAAGCCTACCAGCTACTTGCATTCCAGCTAAACTCTGACGGTCTCCCTGCACAGACGAATTTTTGCCTGTGGCTCTCAAATATGAACAACAATCACTCAGAAAGGGTCAAAATGCATCACAGTGCAAAAGGTTCGCTGCAGGCCTACATACCATGTAGCCATTTCGTAAGGACTTCGATAGGACAGAGCAGAGTCTACTCACTGAGCTGATCCCCCTTTTCGCGTGCGCTAGTTGCACTGTACTGCTGGTTTCTTCATGATACTGAGAGTGCTGTTAACCTACTTAAGCTGATGATGCCCAAGCAAAAGCTGATTATCTTGGCTTGGGTGCAGCACGGATGATGGCAGAGTGAACACCCTCTCATGCTGCCATGAAAATACACCTCCGTGGTAAGCGACAGCAATAGCTGTGAGCCAAGAAACTTTCAGGAGACGCTTTAGACTACAAATTCATTTCACACAAGCTGAATTCAGGGCCAAACGGACCAGGGCTGAATCTGAATGCTTTGGAAACGTTTTGCTAATGTACTGTAGTTTCTTATCTGTGAGACCTGCGGTCCAGTGGCATCAACACAAGATGCCCTCTTGAGGGAGCCTCAAGTTGGAAGTCTCTGGGACCACACTGGTCATGCTACAGAGATGCTGTGCTCCTGGTGTGATTCTCCTCATGATGCCCTGATGTCCGGCAAGAGTAAACAGCTCTGCAGAAGTCCCTGAACTTAAAAAAGTGGGGATGGAGAAAGGGGCTGCTAGTGCATAGGGGAATAACTATTTATAGGGATCTACATCTTGAAGGTACCCTTCCCTGGTCATGTCAAAGATTTTGCCAAGGTTGGCCCTTCTTACCTCAAGTCCTGCAGGTCCTGGGACACCCTGTTCACCTGGGACCCCAGGTAATCCCTGCAAAAATAGAAGGGGGAGGGGAAGGAGCTGAAGAAAACAGATCCTTTCTTCTCCTCAGCAAACAGAGATGTTTATCCTTTCTCCCACTGAGGAAAGAGAGTGCAATTTTATGGTGGCCATGGCTACACGGGGCTCTATCTCTCTTCAGAGCCCCCCCAAAACAAGAGCATACCAGAAAAACAATGGAATAGATAAATCCACAATTTTAGCTGGGCCACATCATTTCAAACACCTTTAATAAAGCTTGTACAAACTCACGCCCAGCCAAGCTCTGTCTAGCAATCCCCACACTCCTCTTCGCCACAAAGCTGTAAATTAGGTGCCTAATTCCAGGTAGCCATCTAGTTGCTTGTAGAGTTTATACGAAGCTAGATGTCCTTACACTGTTGTGGCCATTACTGGTGAAAGAAGCATCCTAGCTATAGAAGGAGCCTGTCCCACGCTTTCCCTCCAAAAAAGGAGGCCCTCATGTCCTCTCTTTGTTAAAGCTCAAAACCAAAACTGAAGAAACACTTTTCTGTGCTCACAGGTTCTCCGCTGGTTCCTCGATCTCCTTTTTCCCCTTTTGGTCCAGGTTCACCCTGTTATAAAACAAGAAGATGAAGAGAGAAATAAAGAGAGCTATTTCCATGGCTAGAAGTCCTACCAATCCTGTTTTGTAAGAGGGGTCTTTTGTAACGAGATAAATTTTGATAGAGAGGAGATGATATTTGAATCTCTTCTGCTGCATTACACAAAAATCTGGTATTCTTCAGTCAGAAAGAGGAAAACGTAAAAAGCCTGGGTTGCCTTATCAGGGGACAACCCATATGGCTACACCTTTTCTTTTAAAAGATCCTGATGCAAAGGACTTTGAGGTCAATGAATTAAAACTACCATATGACGCAGTCAGATGTGGAGTAGGCTGAAAACCAGCACTCCCAGCTAAACGGCTGTGGCTCATGTTTTATATCTGGACCCTGAAGAGTCAAACTACAAACCTACATTCTTTGTGGTTATTCCTTTTGTCTAGACTTCTGGGACTGCTGTGACGCTAACTGTAAAAAAATATTTTAACACCACTCCAGAAAACTTTTTGACTTAAAAAGAAAATATTTTCCCTTCACAGATGATGGTTGTTACCATTATCTGTTGTCTACTATCCTAAAATTTGATCAATTGAGAGATGCAGCATTCAGCTCTGATTATATTAACAGGCCAGATGACCTAAAATGAAATGCCAACAGCAAGACGGCCAGAGCCCCTGAACTCTGTTGTCTCTCCGTAGGACCACAGGCCTAATGTAGTCCTACAACTGGGGAAAGTATCCCATGTAAAGACAGGGTAAATGAGGAGTGTTCAGAGTCTCATCTTGAGCACTCCCAGAGATGTGGATCACACAGCTTTTCCTGGTGTCTAGTTCTGTTAACATCTTCATACATTCAAGTAACTTCCTCTGCCTCTGCAGTGTCAGCACATTATTTCATGCACTACCATCATTGACTAATAGGATTAATTTATTCCTGCTCTTCCTCTTTACAGTACATTGAAGATGCTCTCTGTTCAGAAGTTCATCAGCTTTGTTCTGAATTCTATAATAGTAATCAATACGCCCATATTTCTGCTTTTTATAAATGGAAAGAGAACAGCACAAAATCATGGAACTATCTGGAAAAGGCCGGGCACTGCATGAACACCCACATTTGTACATTGTTTACGAACATATGTATTCAGCAGTAGCAATCATTACTTATTCATTATTTATCATACGAGGTGTTTCAATTATGCAATCAAGAAAGAGTAAGAACGTCAGTGACTTAAGCTACCCCTCCACACACACATGCACAGGAGGAATAGTGATTAGCCAAAATGCAGAGCCCAGGAACAAATCATTTTGAATTTTATTCACATCAGCTGTTTGCCAGATAATTTCTGCAATACCTGGGAAATCAAAGTCCATTTGCAAATGATTCTTCAACAGACAAAATAAATGTAACTGCATAAATATTACTTATGACTGTATTTATTATGCATTATGAATAAATATGATAATTTAGACTAAATAATAGCAGGAATTTTACGTTATAAAGAAGAGCCCAGTTAGACCAGCTTTTAATCAGGCAGTCCCTGATGCCATCTAGTGGTTTTCAGAAGGACAATGACACAACGTAAAGTAGTACTTCAATAAAAGGATCCTATTCAACAAGCAGGACGGCTGCGCTTTGAATTTGTTTTGTGTAATGACATTTCAAGCTCTGAAATCCTTTTGAGAGCGCAGAGCAACAAAGCACAGACATATGGTAATAAATCTGTAGATAGGAATGGTGTTACTAAGTGGAAATAAGAGCACATGCTACGATGGAAAACAAGAGTGCAAAGGGAAGAAGTGACTCAACAGGTAAAGGGAGGAAGCTTCGTATTCTTCTGTCTCCTAGGTTGCTGGGGGGTTTTTTTGTTGTTTTTTTTTTTTTGATATTTGAGCTGTATGTTAATACCAAACTGGGAAAATTCCAGTTTGACATGCTTGCACATCCACAAAACGGGGCAGAGCTAGCATTTCTTAATCCAGCCTGCCAGTAACTCTGCCACCGGTGTCTTGGCTATCTGCTGAGACTGTTAACACTGTCCACTAGTGCTGCGCGTTACAGAGACCTCTGTCCCTGGCACCTGAACACAATCCACTGCCACCCACTTCTCTCCTGCAGCAGAAATGACACGGTGATGCCTAAAAGCTGCTACCAACCTGGGTTGGTCTGGTGCTTCAGCTTCCTTGACCTGTTCTCTCGGCAGCAGCCTCCTGTGGTCGCAGTTAACCCATTAGTCATTTCTGTGCCACTTCAAGGAGAGCAAACGCAGCCGGGGCTCAGCTGGGCCCCGCTCCAGTGGGCGGCACAAGACAAAGCGAGGCTGCGTGGCTACATGGCCACATGGAAGCTCAGACTCGCTTGGCTCAGAGAGTGTCCACTTCTGACAATTACTAAGGTATGTGTTAAATAAAATTGATTTGAACTAATAACAAACAGAGTAATGGTGCTGCTGCCATCTATCCTGGTTGCGTTTTCCATCTCCACCTACTATAGTGACAAGGAACAACCCATAGAGGCGGAGATGGAGAACGCAGTGGAGGCAAGTTTTGTGTTTTGGAGAGCGCATGACAATTTTCAACGTTGCTGTTGCTGAAGCCTCTATAACATAAGCCATGGCACTCTCCAAAAGCGTATCACCACCTTCTGACATCTTAGCTTGCAAATCTGTAAATCAAAGGTTAACAACCCTTACCTCCCCGTCTCCTCCTAAACCTTGCAACGCAGTGTGCAGATCTGTGCTACAGTAAATATCATCACATTCATCTTGCAGATGGAGAGGTCCCAGCAACATGACTTGCTGACACACTTCAGGCCCTTTCACTGCCTTGCAGCTTATTTACAAGTGATACATTCAAAGACAATAAGATAGCTCCTTATACAATTTCAGCGTATGAAGACCATACAAGATGTCACTGTCCTGCATAATTTCTTTGTTTGCATATTAACGAACTACGAGGTAACGGCGGAAGAAATACAGGGAGCTTAGGCAAAATACAACTAAAGAAATCCTGTCTCTCATTTCCAGCACTACCTCACAGTCCTATTTGCCTCCTTCCTCGGTCTCTGAGGACACAGTGATACTCACTTGGTTTTCTAATGTGACCCTTACAACCTACCTCTGTCATTTATACATGCCATAAATGGTCCTGATCTTTAAGAACCTTGATCACATACCAGTGGCGTGACCCATTGCAAGGTATATTCCAGTACAACTATTCCAATGCTGAGAGCACGCCTCATTTAAAAGGCTGGAGCAGCCTTTTAAACACACAACTGTGTTCCCAGTTGAAGTTAGTTTGGATGCTGCTGTTACCAGGACACCCAATGCCTTCTCATTATTATTGGTTACAACAGAGCAATTGCGCAGAACGAGACTCAAGCTGAGCTCATTACTGAAAGCATTTAAATAACATGAAGAGATACTAAGGTGCTCTTTATATACCAAATACAAAAGGCAAAAATCTAGAGGCCATGTTCATTAGAGATGTTACTTACAGGAATTCTGGGGTGTGGGGTAAAGAAGGCTGTCTGAAAAAGAAATCAGAGCATTAAAAGAAGCCCATTGACAAAAGCATTGTCTACTTTCTTTGAAATGCAATAACTAATACAATGTCTTTGTCATTACATACTCTGTGTTGTTCATAAGTGCCCACTTACAAATGAGCACCTCATCATAATATTAGGCTGCCTGGAAAAAAAAAAATAAACCCACACACAGCAGACATTTACTAGAGTATTTGAAATATGAACTCAAAAATGTTGTCTGTGTCCAGCCACTATGAAAAGCCAGACTATGTTTAACCTTGAGGTACTGGCAGTCTCCACCTCACGTTTTCACTTGGAGCTCTCCTTAGCATCATTAAACTTCCTGTAGTGGACCAAATTCAGGATAGTGAACAAAGACACAGCTTCAGCTGAATCTGATAGGAACTGTGCTTTCCTGACTCCATGGCTGAGTTCGGAAGGTTGTCTTTCCGTTTCATACCGCTAACAAGATGTGTATGTCTCCTCCCAGCTGGTTATCTTAGGGATTACATAGTCACCCTCTAGGACTAACCCCAGAAGAGGATCAAGTTTTCTCAACAGAGGTAGTATCTTTTATTAGGAACTGATAACATAGGATAACCAGACAAGATGCATGCAGGAAATGACAGTGTGCTGAAACCGTCATCTATTTTTCCAGCTAAAATAGAAATTACCCCTCCCTACAATCACAGGAGGCTTGAGCAGTCAGGCATATCTTCTTTATATCTAGCCACGCGGTGCTGTGTTTGTGAGTCGCCTTCTCTGTTTTGAGCAAGACAGATCTATTCTTGGGGGTGTGACTAGATTATTCTTGTGCAATACACACAGACTCTTCGCCAACAGTCAGAGAAAGCACCCTTTGGCACAGACTAAAGAACCAACTGACGGCAGGGAGGAAATTGTAATACTTCCTCCACTGTTGCATGAAGGCCTGTAGGTCTTGGATTTTAGCCAGAAGACCTTAATTCAAACTCTCTCCATAATCTGCTAATGTGGCAGCTGTAACTAGCTGCTGCAAACAAAGCTGAAACATGGAAATCTGCGATTTTCCGGAGGGTCTGTGACTGTGGGATCAGCCCTCCCATTGTAATGAGAGCTCTGTTGCTTGCGCTCAGTGCAAGCTGGTTATTCAGCTTGTGCTGGAGGGAACTGTGAGGTTTATGTATTTACATTCAGTGGATGCTGGTTTAATAGCCTGTAGTTAACTTTATTGTAATTACGTTCATGCTTTTCCACAGACAATTGTGCAGGCTCATTTAAAATAAGATAAAATAAAAATAAATAAATAAATAAATGTTTTATTGGTCCTTTTTTATTAGCACAAAGGGTGCGTGCACCCAGGCATGACTGGTTTGGCTGTATGCAGGATTCAGAGCTGAACCGAAATATCCAAGAACGGGTTCCAGCCCTAAAGGGTCTTTCTCAGCCGACAGCACAACATGGCACTATATGTGATGGAGGCTCAGCGAGGCTAGAGCACTGCTGAAGCTAGATCCTCCCCTAAGCATCGACATAAGTTCACGTCAGTAAGAAGTGGAACCCTCTGCTCTCTTCTTGGGAACAGGTAAATTGTTTCCCACAACGTCAAGTTATTGTTCATTGGAACCTCTTCTCCATGCACCAGTTTTACTATGAGATCCCAGCTAGGAAAATCTAGTTCACCCTGGAAAATCTGTATCAGATGGCATGTAGTACATTTACATCTTCACTCGTGATCTTCTTCAGACAGCTCCTACAGCTGCTTCAAAAACTGCAAAATCCATTTAACTGCTATGATAAGGCAAGGGCATACAATAATCCTGTTTGCACAGGGAAGAGGAAGGCACAGCCTTCCAAAAAATAAAAGATCAAATGCACCTTGATATTGCTTCTCTGAAGCTAATGGAAATACACTGAGAGTAAATGCGTCCAGATGTTTTTGCAAAGTAGGGATCTTGAAAAGCCTTGAAACTGAGGGATCTGTGTGGAAGAAGTGTGATGCCTCGATTATTATTCTAGTACAGAACACAATCTTACTTACTGTTCCAGGCAAGCCTGGTGGTCCAGGGGAACCCATATCACCCTAAAGAGAAAAGGAGAATAATATAACCAAGAATACAAAATGAGGCCCAAATAAAACTCAACATCATCAGCCAGAAGTTGTGACATTACCAGGTGAGAGACTTAGTCAAATGACAACCTGTCGGTTCAGTGACACTAAAAAACCCCAGAGTGCCTTTTCTGATGGATAGAATTTTACCCACTGCTCCGGCCAGAATTTCTGCTATCCTCATTTTGTTTCATGCAAGATGCTTACTTTGTTTTTATCACTTCACAGGTCAGCGAATTTCTAGTGTTACCCATCCACTGTAGGAGTGGCATGGAGCTTAATTTGCATTTGCCTGACAAACACATTCTGGCAAAACTGATTCTGTGTATGGAAGAAAAATATTGTTCATTAAAAATATGATTTTCTCAATCCAGCTCCCTAATTTTTGAGTCAAAAATTAGATTGTTCTTGGAGTACGCCATGGGAGTTGTAGTTTGAGTGCCTTAGGTGCCAGCAACCTTCCTATGGGCTGTGCTCCACAGACAATTTCATTCCTCATGACACATCAAAGCCAAGAACTGCTAACAACACTAGTCAACCTCCCAGATATAGGAGATTGGGGTGCCTCACTGAAGATGTCATTTGACGCCTCATGAAAAAAGTATCCCCTCCATTGATGGTAAAAGTCATTGGTAAACCTAGGGCTGATGTATCCTACGAATAAGAGCAAAAGAAACAGGATGTACCGTTCCTTGCTTGCTTGTGGAAGCCAAACCATGCAATTAGCTAGGTCTCATCCCTGGAAAGCCAGTCCACCAGCATCCCAACCTGTCTGAAGAGCATCAGCTTCATGGACCAGAATCATGGTGAACAGCTCCCCAAAATTAGACTCCCACAGACATCCAAGCCAGAAAAGGCTCTGATGCTGATGGCAGAGAAAGCCATCTGGTATCCACTTCCTGATAGCTGAAATTGCTGCATTGCCACTACACACAGGGCAAATTTTTCACTATACAGCCATAAGCATCTGCAAGGTCAGTGCCTCATCTTCACCTTCATATTCGTAAAGGCTGGACGGATATTTTGGTAGAAATCATCCTTGTCTAGTTCTCTCATTTTCACCAAAATTAATGGTGTTGTGATGGCAGATGCCCAGAATATTCCTTAAATTATTGTGCTATCACGTTATAGTCAGGTATAGAAAAGTTCTTCAGAATTTACAGACTCATTTCTATCAGCCAACTCTAAAACAAACAAAAAGTATTTCCTTGAATTAAAGAAACTGCCCTTAGATGTCATTAAGCATTACTCCTTGCAATACCCAATAAATGACTGTCTCTACCCCACACACAGCTTCTTTCACTGTTTCTTTGTCAGGCTCTTCTAACAGACTTCTAATTATTTCTAATCCTCCCCAGAAATTCTCCTCTATCAGTTGTGTCTGCTGCCCCACACCTCTTCGTAATCTCTTTTCTTCTCTTGTCTAAGGAGCGACATTTTTATTTCATGACTCACCTTTTCTCCTCTTTCACCTTTGAATCCAGGGAGGCCATCTTTTCCTTTTTCTCCCTAAAAGCAAGTAAAAGAAAGCAGGAAACATGCATGCTTTGATTTGATTGAATCAATCCCACTACTGCACTGCTACAATGAGACTATAATATTTCACATTTTCAGATCACAGAATCCCAGAATGGTTGAGGTTGGAAGGCACCTCTGGAGATCTAGTCCAATTCCAATGCTCAAATAGGATCACCTACACCACGTTGCACACGATTGTGTCCAGATAGCTTTTGAATATCTCCAAGGAAGGGGACTCTACAACCTCTCTGGGCAACCTGGTCCAGTGCTCTGTCACCCTCACAGTCAAGAAGTTCTTTATCACGTTCAGATGGAAATTCCTGTGTTGCAGTTTGTGCCCGTTGCCTCTCATCCTATCACTGGGCACCACTGAGAAGAGCCTGGCCGCATCCTCTTGATATCCTCCCTTTAGATACTTATACACATTGATCAGATCCCTCCTCAGCCTTCTCTTCTCCAGCCTCAATAGTGGAAGGTCTTGTAGCCTTTCCTAATCTGAGAGATGCTCCAGATGATCTTACTTGTCCTCCAAGATGCAGTGCAAGCAATTGAATCAAAAGGTAACATTTTGAGATGGCTTCACAAAAGCCACATTATTTTCAAAAGCCAGTCAAGAGCAGTTAAATTTATGGGAAGGAAAGTGGCAACCCTAAATCAATTTGCAGATAGAAGGTCCCACTGTCTGACACAGATATATATTAAAAAAAAAAATAGCTTTTTCAATTGAACAAGAGAGGCAACAGAAAGGGACTTACAGCCCAAGAGGACTTTCACACTATCTGTTTTGGTTATGTTAAAGGATTTCTGAATCATCTCCTCACTGATGCCTACCTATCTACTTTCACTGTTCAGGGAACCTGGTGCCCTGAATGGTAAAATCTTAACAAGTATGATGTGATTACTCCTCCAAATGCACACATAACATGTATTTATCCTGTAGTCAGATAGGAACCAGCTCACCTACGTGTCTACAATTTTATACATAGAGAGAACATATATATATATATATATATGTGTGTGTGTGTGTGTGTGTGTGTGTGTGTCCTACAATATACATAATATAGCAAGTTCAATGGTAACACTTCAGTTGACTTTAGATCTTGCTCACACTCAAGCATATAATCAACTATGAGGCTGATTCAGATAGCTCATTCAGATAGCTCAATTTTCTGTCAAATCCCTGATCCAACTACTTCCCAGGGTACAGATGCCTCTGAAGGTCTGGAACTAGAGAGAGGAAAGCAGTAAACCCCAGGACCTGAGTGGAAGTTGGCTCATCAGAAAATAATCCAGCAGTCTGGAGTCTCCTCCAGGGTTCAGTGACAAGGGAGATTTGCATTGTTTTTCATTGTTATTGTTTTTAACATTGTTTAATGTTCTTAAATCACGCAGCTGCTTCTGAAAGCAAGGCCTAAAGAGAAATGCACCTCTTCCACTGCCTTGTGAAGAATAAGACCTCAGTCGTAATCTTCTCTGTTTAGGACAGACAACGCTCACTAGCATCTCCGCTGTAATTAGGAAAGGTCACTAGGCAGCGCCACTTTAGAAGGGGTAGCTGGTGAGCTTGCTGGACGCGAATGAGCTGCTTGTCATAGCAACCTCATCAAGAGAGAGCATCATCTAGAGAGGTTCTAGAGAAGTCCTCCTGGCACTATACAGGCAAACAAAAGCAAGCTGTGACTCAGTCACTCACCCGATCTCCCTTCTCTCCTCTCAGTCCAGGTAAACCTTGGGGGCCAGGAAGACCTGCTTCACCCTGAAAGTGAGATAAAGCAGCGTGTGAAACCTAGGAACTTTCATCAAGCATGGCTTCTATTAATAAACTTTATCATTCTCAAACACATTACAATAAAGAATAAAAAGGTACAATACTGGGCCAAATTCTTCTCTCATGCACGTCAATTAAAAATCCATCAAGTCTAGTCTTCAGGGTGCACTAATCTAGCCAGAGTCCCCTTAGGCTAGGAAGGATGAAGCCTTGATTTAACTGTCTGTCTCTTTGCATGGCTAATACTAGATTGCTAATTGTTCAGCACTCATAGTCACTGCAGACGGTTTCTTCTTGATACTTCATTACAGTGATGCATACAGTGCATATTTCAGGCCAGGATCTGGTCTAGTGCTTTCATGGGATTGATTCTAGATGTAGTTTGCTGAGAGAGAGCAGGATCTAGCTTGATTATCAGGTAATTTCTTTCTCTTGGGAAATTATGATTTAAAACAGCAGCTAAGACCTCTCCTTTTTGCCTTTACACTGTTAACTGAGACCATGAAATTGAGGACGTGTTTTCTTTATGTTGCCTTGTAGCAATACTGTATAAGCAAATAAAAGCAGCTAAAATGAATTCTAACTTATTTTCCTCTTTTTAAAAAATCTAGTCTAGTCTGGACATACAAACACTGTGATGCATTAATATGCACAGTACAGATGCTACCTGACAAGCAGATTTAGAATCTGCTGGATATATTTTTTCAAGTTTGGATATCTTTCCATTTGAACCTTACCTTTGAGTTCTTGGTTTATAATCTTGCTTTTGGAGTAAGTATAACTTCTGCATAATGTGGTTTGTCCTAACTATATCGAGTACTCTCAAATTTAGCTCCAGGTTGACCCAGTTCATTATTTGGGAGTAACCACATGGTTTGCTGTTTATTATTATTTTGCTATCTGTATCTGTAGCACAATATCACAAAGGATTTCAGTCATGACAGGATACGTTTTCACTAAGCGTTGTACAAATACCCAGCTAAGAGACGATGGATGACCTCTGCTTTAAAGACACCATCTTTGAAGCAGGGGAAAAGCCCAAACACTACTATGATATAGGCCTAATAAGTCTGCAGAAGAAATCAGGTGAGGGAATAAGATCTTGTGGCTGGGTATAACCGGTTTGTGGAGGATCCTGAAAGACAGCGACATCTGATGGCAGCGCAACAGTGCTTTATGAGAGCCACTACAAGATCCCAGCTGATAATAAGGTCCCCGAGATCATGACAAGGACAAACACAGGGCCTAACATTAAAGTGGAAAAAAAATAAGAATTTGGAGGATAAAAAAATAGGTGGCCTAATTTTGATCTCTGGAAAGATGCTGAAACAAAGTATTAATCAGTTTGTAAGAGCTCTAAGACAATAAGAAACAGCCAATGTGGATTTGTCAAGAACTAATCACGTCAAAGCTATCTACTTCCCTCCTTTGAAAGGATAACTAAGTAGATAAGAAGGAAACATTTGTGTGATATACCTTGACATCAGTAAGACATCTGATACAGGTTAACATGACATTCTCAAAGACAGTGTAGAAGAAACGTCTCTGGAGGAAGGTGTACAATTGACTTAAAAAACTGCATTCATACAGCTGTTACTAGCTGCTTCCTGTCAAACTCACAGGATATATGAAGTGGAGTCCTCTGAGGGTCTGGCACTATTCAGTATTTTAATTTATGACTGAGGCGATAGAATAGAGAACATTTATAAAATGCATGGAGAACACCACACTATGGAGAGAGGCAAGTGTTTTGGAAGAAAGAATTAGAATTCAAACCAGCCAAGATGAATGAAAAAACTGTCAGCAATTCCTAAAATTGTATGAGCATGGATAGGCTACCACAACTTACAAAAGCTGCTATATGAGACTCCTCATGGACACCTTCCTTCCCTAAGTCCAGTTAGTGATGCAGATGGTGCATGTCCTGTTTTATTGCACAAGTCAATATGTGAGCAGAGGTCATGACCACTTTCCCATTTAAGCTTTGTAACAGAAGATTGGTTTGAGACTGGTAAGAGTGAGAGAAAATGAGACACTGAGATTCTTCCGTTGTTGATTTATATTCTGTGTACCCCAACATCTAAAGTTATGCCCCAAAGATATAAGACTATCTTAGGCAGATTTCTCTTTCTACAGATTTTCATTCTGCAATTGAAAAGTTGGCGTGTGGATGACAACATTAACACCTCTGGTTAGTGGCCCTGACTGGGTTCCAGACAGCCGCATGCTTTGGGAAATCCCAGGAGCTTCCCTTGTTCTTCGCTGAGCTCTGCAGTTACATGATAAAACCCAAATCCATAAAGACTAAGATAGCTACATAACTTCTGAGAGTCAATTAGCACTATATCTTAGCAAGTATTCAAGACCTAGAAATGACAGTATCACGCTTTGTATCATATATTTAAAAGAAATTCCTCATCCTGAAGAACCAGCACCAGCACCCTGGGCTAGTGAGAGGTGTGAAGAGAGAGCAGACAATTTAAGTTATTGCACTTTCCTTTTCTTTCTTATCCACCAGGAACAAGATGACCGAATTTTTTGGGATACAAAGACAATTTGGATTTAGCATATTTTTGCTCTGGAACTTTCACATTACTTTGTCTAACTCTGAGTCTTAGCCACTCATCTGTTGCATCTTCAATTATATATGCAAATGACTTGCACTTATCTTGTCACGGACAAGCGGCTTTGTTATTGCCTGTGGTCACTTTATATTGCTCTGACAGGTAAGCCTTGCTGCTAAAACAATTCTTCCTGCTCACCTGTTCACCAGTTTGGCCACGGCTCCCTGGTTCACCCTGGAAAAACAAAAGTACAACTGATACTTTGGTAAGAAAGCTTTACCACGATTACAGCGTGTCCCTTATTGTCATGACCCATGTTCTTCCACCTTTCCTTAAGCCACTGAAATTGGCCTCTCAATAGCTTGCAATCCCAGACCACAGGTATCCAATGTAAGTGCCCTGTAAGGTCTTCTTACACATTCAGACTTGAGAGAGCAGCATCAAACAGGGTTTGACATCTTGAAAGAGCAAGTGTCTGTGAAATCCAGACACTAACCCATATCCTCTCTTCCTTTTCTTCCTCCAAATTTACAGGAAACTTACTTAACTGACTTCAGTACAAGGGAAATCAGAATCAGGTCTTGGCTGTTTCAATGTTTACAGCAAACCATAAAATGAAAATGCATACCTTGGGACCAGCTTTTCCAGGAAAGCCTTCCTCACCCTTTTCTCCTGGTTCTCCCTGCAGGGAACATAAGAATTGAATATGCAAACTCCTCTAATAATACAGCATATCTGCAGGCAACGGTGAGGAATTCTTTGACTCAGATCTCCAGTAACAGCCTGAGCATGTAAACGGAGCCATACGACAGTGCGTTTCCTGGAATGTTTTTCCATTCTTGTAAGATTTGCAGACACATCTCCAGCACTGATCACCCTACTGGAATAATTCTGGAATAAAATAAAGTCAACTAGAGTTATATATTAAAGACGTCCACAGCAAACTGGGTCCCCGTTCTCCCAATTTCCCACTTTTCCCAACTCCCAATTTCTCACTTTTATTCATCAATAAACAGGAGTTGGGAACTACACTGGACCTGGGCTCAAGAACTCCCTGCAGTCACGTGAGAGAGGCAAGCATAAACGTAGCATGTTATTGGAGCAAATAAAGATAACGGTGTCCAACTGTCAGAGGCAAGAAGACAACTGCCTTACGCAGTTCAAGGCAGCAAATGGTTAAGGGCTGTCATCGTTATTCCAATATAGTATCAGAATCCCCAAAGCCTAGCTTGGCCCCACACAGAAACGGCTCTTATAGCCAACACATGGCACTTTTCCTTACTGCTTCATTTGCATAGTGATAGTAACTCAACCAGAATCTATCCTACCTCTAAATCTCCTAGCTCCCTTCTCCCATTGCAGAGACAGCAGAACATACAGAACTTTCTAAATTTGTCACTTGCAGAAGTTTTCAAGCAAGGCATAAGAGGTAGGAAAGAACAAAGAGCCATCTTTCTGTCATACGGACCCACAGAAGACTTAGGTCTTAGGACAGCATCTCTTCTTTCCAGCCCTTCAAGGAGGAAATAAAAGAATGTCTTTGAGGCCTGTCACACTTCTTTCTTTTTCTTCTCTCATTTTCTGTAATTTATGTCACTTGCCATTGTCATTGGCTCTCCTGGGTGACAGCAGAAGCTTCTCTGCAATGCTCAGCTGTATTCGCTGAACAGGATATGAAGACTGGAGTGGATTCTCTCACTCCTTCCAAATTTACAACCAACTCCATAAAGCACTCACGGTACAATTCAACCACATCAGTGATTTGGCCCCTATTTCACCAGTGGCTTAGAGACATGGAATCGGGTGATGAAGGTTGAGCTCTGGGGATGCACCATGCTTTTGACTTACGCTTGCTAGCCCACCTGCATAAGCTGCCCAGGTAACTAGCTTTATACCGGTGTATGTGGTGTCACTTACCTTCTGACCTGGAAGTCCAGGAAGACCATTTAATCCATCTTTGCCAGGCAACCCCTAAATAAGAGAAAATTATCAGCCCTAAGGGCCTAAATTGTTAACAGCAAGCTCAGCATAAGTATGTTCTGTTCATGCCTCTTGCCACTGGCCTAAGTTTAAGAAAAGAAAAACCACCTCATGCATTTTCTTCTGATTTTTTCACTACTGCGATTCAAATTCCACAAAAGTTCTTGCAATGCACATATCCACTCACCTCCTTTTCCAGTATCCCAGTTTGGGTAAATGACCACTAGAGGTCAATGTTGTTACAGCGAAACAACAATCTAGACGTTTTAGGCACTACAGATTTTTAAATAACTTTAAAGAGTACTTTTTCATTTCTCATTCGCTATAAGTCGCTATTCTCTATAGCTATAAATATTTTAAAGTCTATTTCTCCTTTTAAATGTCAGTAATTTATTACACTATACATTGACTCTTAAAATTAAATTATATAATACGCACAATACATAGAGACAGAATCATTCGGCAAGATAAGAATTAAAATGACTTCCTGTAATGCATATAAAATGGTGAGAAAAATTTCTGTCCCCTTTCCAAGTGTCAGTCAATCACTGAACATTAGAGGCTGTAGGTGGCACTTCTTAATACTAAGTACATTATAATTCATCTTTCCTGACTTTAACAGCCAACAGAAATTGCTATACCCTCCTGAGATTTTTGTTTCAGTTCTTAGGCCTGATACAGGAAACCACAGGCCTGCAAGAAAAACGTCTTGCCAGATACAAAATGATTTTTGAAATGCAGCATATAGCGAAAGCGTCATAGCCCAAGTGGGTAAGAATAACGGAGCTGCGTTTGGTCAGGTCTGGTGTATAACTCTGTTAAAATGATTATTTATGAATAGCATCACATTCTAATGCTTACACTATAAGGAGACAGGGTTGTAGACAGCACTAAAACCTTGCATGCAGACAAGCCACAGGAAAAGGAGTGCAGACTTGTACTCTAGAAGTAAAGTGAAGGCACAGAGGGCCTGGAGGCTGTGGAAGCAGTCCCTCAAAACTTACAGGTGATCCTGGCGGTCCGGTTTTACCAGCAACACCGATCTCTCCTGGCAGCCCCTGAAAAACGAAGCCAGCACAGAGAATCATCAACATTTCCGCCCTTTACAGTTCACTGCTCCAGCGAGCAGATCTCGCTGGAGACTGCTGCTTTCCATTCAGATCCTATTCCCCCTTCCCCAGCAGGCAGTTCACTGCTGTGGGGAGTCCTGCAGACATTGATCCATGCGCAGGTGGCACCAATGTAGGTCCAACATTTAGTGCAGAGAAGCTGTCCCCTAAGGCCAGCTGTGGCTTTTCAGCGAGAAAGTACAAGAGAAAACACATGCTGCCAGAGGCCCTGACAGTTCTCACTGAAATCCATGATGTAAACTCCTCCCCAACTGCTTTTTCTCTCCTTGCCATAAAACAAACAAGCCTGTTTTCTTACTGGTGCTCCAGGGGGTCCAGGAGGTCCAGCAATGCCCGGGAGCCCTGGAGGTCCCTATAAGGGAAGGAGCAAAAAGAGTTTATTAGACCTCCAGAGAGAGGCTGAAAGCATCAGGCCCTGCACACCGAAGGCCATTCTGATGAGCATCAGCATTGATCTTTATTTCATCAGCTACTGTCCAAAAATGGAGAGATGCCAATGTGCGCTCCCAGGGAACCATGCTCACAAGCAGAACAGAAGTCCCTGCTTTCTGCTAGCAGCTGCATAAGCTACTAACTCCTATCCCTGCAAGGTGAACTCCATCCTCAGCTCCAAAACGAGGGACGAAGGAGTTGAAGGCAATCAGGGGGTAGCATGCAACGCAGAGCTTGCCCAGTGGAACCTCTTGTGGCATCCAGCCTAATTTAATCTTGATTAATGTTGTTTCTCTCTGAATAATTTACCTCTGCAGAAAGATCTCTGAAGGAATGAATGGAATAGGCTTGTGGTTTAGGTTTATCTATTTATTTATTTTCGGGGGAAATATGAGACCATCTGTGACCTTTCACCTAATGAAAAATGATGTAGTGGCTCAAGGGGGTTAAAATAAATACTCCACAATTTTATCACTCTATTTTAACTTTGTTGACAGTAAAAGGTTCTCACAAACTCACGTCTCAGTGCACAGATTCAATTGGAAACGTCCTAACAGTCTTTCTTACTCATCTCTAGGCAGCGTAACGTAGCTTGTGGTGCGCCAGCCTTTTTTTTCTAATCTAATTTGGAGTCAAACAATAGGGATTCAATGGTTTCTTTTGGGAAAATACTCTCTCAATAGCCATCACTTTTGCAGAGAGATTCATTTCTGAGTGTCAGGCAAATTGTTTACTTTCGGTTCCTAGGACAAAAAAAAATTGTTTCCATACTTGATAGATCTTAACAGGTTGCCTGAGATTCAGAGGTATTTGTTACCTCCAGCTTCCACTGAAGACAAGATAGAATTTCTCCTCTACTCAGAATGAAGGACGTGTTCACGTATTTTTTGGATCAGGACCTAAGCAAACAGCATAAGGATAGATATGTGATTGAGTTGCAGTTTTACCTTGCCTTTCTCTTTCTACCTGTGTAAGGAATTAAAGCTAAACAAGAGATAAAAAATGGAAAATGGCAAGTCAGCACTCTCCCTGCTAGACCTGTGTCACTATGCGATATTACAAGTGACAGCTTTTGTGACTGAAGTGTTACAGCTCATGGATCAATATCAGTATTTTACTTGTAAAGAAGAAAAGTAGTTGAAGAAGAGAAGACAGTGAGGCAAACAAGGAAGGATAAAGAGACTTTTTGTGGTATGGCTTAACAAAGAACGTAGTGGATAAGCAGTCGTTTAAAAATATGCCTGGACAAGTCAGCTAGAAGGGAAAATAGCTTTTCACCAATAGATGGAGCAAAGCAACCAAAAAAGGGACCTGCAGATGCACTTGACATATATCACCTATAATCTGCTTTCATTGCAAATGAGTCTACAATAGACACGGAATCATCCCACCGCTACCATTATTATTTTGAGCGCCTCAGGTACGTGCACAACTCAAAAATCAACAGAAAAGCACTCCTTGGGACATCCTGCTGCTGCTGGCATAACTCATGAGGAGTTTCATATCTGCTTCTGGGGACAGGGGCATTACAGGAGGGTGCCTCACTTAAGGTGCTCTAGCCCCACCAGGAGAAGTCTCAGCAGGCCCATCCATCACTTAAAAGAGGCTTTGTCATTCAAAAAAAAGAATCAAGCCTTAAGAACAGCAGTCCAAATTAGCCCAGCGCTAGAGACAAGTGCTGCCGACACAGCCGAAGGGCAACTCTGGAAAGGCACTCGGAGTCAGGAAAGCCAGCGGCTGACATGAAAACAGGCACCACACTTGGACGCGTATCACGGCAGAGGAAAGCAGGAGGATTAGTATCAGGTTCCATATGACTAGAGAGGAGAGAAAGGGCCAAGGATGGAGTGGCATCAGCTGCCTGGGATACAGAAGTCTTGGTTGATCCTACTCTAGCCCTACAAGGACAGTAGTACTGAGACCTGCAGAAGGTCTGGTCTCCACAGAGAGGTTTCCATGAGGAGTGGGTGCAGTACTAGGAAAGAAGGCGAAGGACAGCCTGATGGCAGAAGGGGCTGCTTGGACAGAGAAGAGAATGGGACAAGGCCACCAAAGGGGTGTTTAAATTTGTAAGAGAGGCCGTTTGTTTTCAGTATACAGTATATTTTCACAGACACAAGTCAGAGGCTAACCTTAGAAAAATGACGACAAACCGCTCAGCAGCAAAATAGATTATACGTATCTGCAGGAAAGATAAAGTGAAAAATTTACCAGGGAAGGAACCTTCCCTGGTTCCTCCTAGCCTAATTTTGTTCTCTCTCTCTCACAATAATCCAACTACCTCCCACCAACGCATATGCATTTCTCATGACCTTATGACAGGGAGCTTCTACTAAGAGCTCAGAAATCAGTCTGATACCCAGCCATCTCCAGAGACAGCCATGCTTTATCTAAGAGTGCAGATTATTTTAGAGGATGGATATTATCTCGGTGTAATGGTATCTCCCTTGACTTCTTCCTGACTTACATGAATTACCAGCTCATTCTGACTTCTGTAACAAAGCCATCTAGCCAACAATTAACAAGGAACATAGTGCCATACTACAGTAAACAGCAGCCTGCACCCACTCTCAGTCTGAGTATATCGAGAGTGTAATGCAAGTTACCCAAGAAATACAGACATGGGTCGATCTGCCCCGAAAGAGAAGCCTCAGTCCAGCATCTAACAGTAACCACCATGACCCCTGAAACATGAGCTTCCGCGTCCTCCTTGTCCAAACTATTTTTCCTAGTAACTCTGCATATTCTTGTTTTCAAAGAAAATTTCTAACTGTTCTCCAAAACTTTCTATATTCTGGGCCATAGTAACCTTATGCAACCATAAGTCCTGAAATGGAAGCACACTTGCCCATATCCACTAATAATTCAGTCTTGTTGTTTCCTGTGAGAGCCGTCATAAGGGATGTTATGCCCAGGACTGCTTTACCCCATTAGGCACACACATGCATCATCAGCAAAGTTACACCCACTAATGAAGAGCTATTCTGGTAAAAGCCTCTCCAAGATGGACTTAGAGCAGTTTTACATGATGAGTATACTCAGAATACCAAGTATCCCTAGAAGATGCAGACGATGCTGTCAGCCTGGTCCAGCTGGTTGTGTATACCAATATATCTATTGCTCCTACTGGATGTATCGCCTTCTGTAGCCAAGGCTGCACCAGCCGACTGGGCCCGAGAGAAATGAAAAGGTATGGTCACATGAAAGCTGCAGAAATACATCATACCACATAGCAGTCTTTTTTAGAGCCCCTTCCCCCTTTTGCCAGACTGTCCAGAGCAAATCACTTTGATTTGTATATAAATTCCTGTTGTTTTGCCCTTTCTCCTGACCTCTGCCTGTCCTCAGAAACTGAATATACTTCAGAGCAGGGATTCCCTAAGTATTTAGAAAGGATCTAACTCACTGACAGCATTTATTATTCCTCAGGTAAGCTAATCTATCCGTGCCTCAGTTTTCCCACCTTTCGATGGGGTGAAATCTCAGAAGGGCTTTGTGAGGCTAAAGTGTCATATGTACAATGATACATTGCGCACACACCCAAATCCCTTGGCTGGTAAAGATTCTGATCTGCGCTTCCTACATGCTGAAACTAAAACTGACATGCAAAAAACTTCATCCTCTAACATAGGACTACACAAACTCAGTTGTTTGGAAAAAGACTGTAAAACATTGATCTTTTATGAAAAATGTTTAAAATATTTTCAAATTGTTCTTTTCAAACATTTTGAATGTTCATTCAAATCCAAATATCTGTGGGAAAGCATGCAGGGGCATGTGCATGCAGAGGACAACTCTATAAAACACTGCGGGGCAGGGTGCTGGGCTTACGTTGCATCCAACTCCATTCCTAAGTCAGAGTAATGCAGGGATAGTTCTCAGAAAAGAAATCTGAAACTCTCAGTATTAGAGCAAAAGCTGTTTCCATCTTCCAGGAACCACTAAAGGATGCTCTCTTCCAATATGTACCCTACTTCAAAGACGGGCTGGGAAAGGCAGACTTAGGGTCTGCACTCGCTAAGGAGGCTCTGAAAAGGAACAAACGCCTTCGTGACTACATCAATAGGTTTTTTGGCCCAAATCTCTTTTCCATGAAAGAAAGGAAAGCTACATTTTAAGGCGAGATGAACAAATGGCATTCTAAGACAGAAACTGAAGTGTGATGGCTTTTCCAGATATCCGCCTCTGGAGCCAAAACTTGCCCAGCCATCTCTTCTGCACGTTATTCCATGCAAATGACTGGATCCTCTTGTGCTATGAGAAAGGCTTAGATAAGCCCTTAAGCCATATCATAAAAGACTGCAGAGCAGGTGTTTTAGGCAGCAGTTTTTTGGGGGGAGCAGCCCATGCATCTCACTTTTTCACTTGCTACCCCAGCTCTCCATCTCTCCTCTGCTGTATCTGAACGGTCTCTGAGATCAGTTCCTCAGATCTGTTCTTCATTTCTCACCCTATGTGCTACCATATCCATGATCACGACGCTTCTGAATTATTTTCAGCAATGCTGCATTAGAGCATTTTATTGCTCTCTCTGCTTAAAACCTGCCTCATAAACCAAAATATAAGAGGATATAGAAAAAGGCTGTTACTGGTGACACTGAAAACCAAGAGCATAAGGAGCCAACAGCACTGAATATTTTGCTATGATGCATGCTTTATATTCATCTTCAGTGATAGTGTCATAATTCATAAATGTGTTATGTCTCCAGTTATTACACTAGGTGGCATTTTAATTGGAGTACCAACATTACTTTAGGAAATAAAGTGTTTTGAACAGAAAAATTCTCTGAACTGACTGTCTTTCCAGCTGCACAAGAGTCCTGAGTAAAGCTGACTTTGTACATAGCTGTCTCTCCAGGAGAATTTCTTGTTTCCAGTGCAAGGCAGTATTTGTTTAATTTTTCCACTTAGTGCAAGATAGGGACACGATCTCTTTTGTCTGCAGAGGAAGACTTACTTCGCTGTTCACTTTCTTTGAATTGTTTTACTGAGTCAGTGCAGCTAATGAGAAATAAAAACAATAAAAAATCTTCCTTATGGTCTTTTGTTTCGATACTACTAGTGATTTGCACTGCTGAAGTCTTGCTTTTCTTTATTTTGTTAAAAGTATAGATCTTATTAAAGATAGCTCTGAGCAATATCTTCCAATTTCAAGCAGCACAGGCATAGTTTGAATTTAATCTGAGCTTTGCAGTGGGGGCTTGTATCTTTTTCTTACATTTCACAGCATTAACTTGCATTATAAAAAAGACTTTACGACATCACGCGTTTCAGAGGATACCATTTATTTCCTCTGAGTTACTTAAGAAAAGCAGGACTAGAGCTCACACTGTATGGATGAGTCCATAGTAATTAAATCACTACCAGCCACCATCATAAAAGGCACAGCTTGTACCAGTCTCCCTCGCAGACCTGAGTTATACCATCAGTATAAGGCAAGTTGTGCAACGGCCTCTGTGGCCCAGATATTGCAAGTGTGAGGAAAACAGCATTTTTCCTTAAAACTCAGAGTTTTGAGTTCTGCTTTGCTTCCCCACTGGTGGAGAGAGCATGTACCTGCTCAGCTGGTGGAGATTATTAGACAGTCATTCAGCTGATCAGCTGTGGGGGTCTGTTTTAGGAGGAGCTTAACAGCTCTCCAGGCTCCTTTGACTGCGCTAATTTCATCAACTATAACGGGAGCTTAGACACCCACACGTCAACTGCTACAGAGAACTACTTGCATCTGGAGCTGAATCCTAGCCCTGGCAGTTCAGCGATTCAGCTCAAACTCTCTGAGCTCTTGTGCAGTACCAGGCGATGAGCCCCCTCTCTGCCGAGCCCATGAACATGGCCTTCACCGCTCACTGAGCATAAGATGCCAAACTGCAAATCTCCTTTCCCCTCATGATACCCTCCTGCCTCAAAAAACACTTGCAAGGGTACCTGATCATCTGCCTTCAGTCCCTTATTCAAACGTTGCTCCTCTCAGCTGTTCCTCTATCCCTATGATGGGATAGACGAGGGACACGGAGATCTTTGGTGATCGTACATAAACACATAGCTTCATTGCCTCGCATGCTTAGTATCCATCCATTGCAATTGAAAGCAACTTACAGAAATGACCATTTTTCAGTCCGCATTTAAATAGCCTACTGTAATAGAAGTTTGGCCCATGGTTAAGGTTGCTAGAAAGTAAAATAATACAAATAAATAACAACATAAAGGCATTATGAGCTCAGATGTGCATGTCCTTGCTGCAGGAAAATCATATCCAGAGGGCAAACAAGCTCCAGTCTCTCTACTTTATCATTAATGATGTAATGATGCCACTGAAAGTAAATGTTCATTTTTGAGGGTGATGACTGGACAACATTAGAGCAAATAAGCATATGCAGTGGGTCATTATCCTAGCTGATCTAGAAAAAACAAACAACACTTTTTGAATTAAAATTTAGGTTGGATTGAGGTATATAAGGAGGGAGGCAAAAATAGTGCTACCCTATTTTCACCAAACATGCCCAGACTATCCGAGAAGTTATCTCTAGCTCTTTCTGAGTGCCACAGGATCTGTCTCTCCTACCAGAATGGATGGTCACCAGTTTCACAGCCAGCCAAGAGAATTACTGCTGCTCCAGAATTTGCCACTTAAATTAACTCTCAAATGCAAACACATCGAGGCATCAAGAGTCAGACCCACGTCTTCTGACCCTGCTCCAGAGCAACGCTCAGGAGGACTCCCCCCACACAGCTGGCTGCTTCTTCTGCAGCTTCTCACCAGTATCCAGTGTGATGGGAAGGGTTTTCACTGACAAAGCCTGGCAACTATTGAAGGCCTTTGCACACCCAGGCACTCGATGCTGCAGTCCACCTCTGCTCTTCTGCAGGAAGTAGGCTTTGCTGCCACGTCTCTAGAAAATGCAGAATCTGTCTGAAGGTGCTGAGGAGCCATCACCTGTCTCACAGCAATGAGGACAGGCCAACTTGTCCTAAGACTTTCTATGGTGTACAGAATAGGGAGAACTGGGAGTAAGGATCAGCTGACATCCTTTCACGGCCTTTTCTAAGTATATAAGTCAAGTTGTTGCTGAAACAACTCCTATCTCTATTCCTTCACTCTGTCAGCACAGCTATCAATGGGGTGAGCCGCATCAGAAAAAAAAAAATATGTAAATTTAAAATAACAGAGGAAAATGAGGTTATTTTAGGGTTCTAATCTAGTTTATGTATGGCTTAAAATTTAGCTGTAAACACCAGGAAGATGGCACAGGAATAGGTGACACAGACTTCCTTAAATCACTGAGAAAGAATATCTGTGTAACGACAACATAAAGAAACCATTTTTCTTCTTGAATATTTTCTGGGTATAGTCTGATTAAGATAAAAAAGTAATAATAAAATAGAAATGCTGATTAAGCTCTTAGAGAACCTAGTGTCACAAAAACTGCTGTTAAGCTGAAAATTATTTTTGTCACAACCTAAATGTAAGCACTTTCTCCAAACAGAAAGATGAAGATCTGCAGCAATATGCCCAGGACACGGTGCCACTGAAGGAATATGAACAATATTTTTCCATTCTTAAATTGAGGTTAGAGGGACAGACAATATAAAGAATTCCTTGATGGGGCTAAAGTAGTATCCAGTTTTAATTAACATAAAATTTGCAAGCTTTATTTAGCTTATTCTAAAAGGAAGACTACTTACTGCTAAGTCAGCAATTTTCTCAGATACACACATAAAATTGCTGTTACAGGCACATATACATATTTTAAAAGTCACAGAGAACCTGAGTTGACTAAATATGATGGTGTCAGGGTAGATATAGTCAAATATTTCAGAATTAATTCCTACAGAGGAACCTTCCCCCAAAAGCAAGGAAAATCTTCTCCCGATGGCATACGTTTGGCCATTTTGAGGGGCTTTTAAATGTTGTAACTGAGAAAAAACAAATCTAAGATTCATTGGAAAATAGCGTCTTTATTCCTCTTGAAGGCTGCTGATGAAATACTTTCAAACCAGATGCTGCAGCAAAGGAAAACATGTTAAAAATATGTAAACCAGTATCAAGCAGGGTTTCACAGGGCAACGTTCCCAGTTGGACATAAGGGCCTTCATCTGCACAGAACTGCAAACCACTGGATTTCCTCTCTGATGGCTTCAGCAGACATGTGAGCAGCTCCTTACAAAACATCTGCAAGAGAATCCATTTCTAGATCATGTTTCCTAGTTACAAGAGCATAGCTTGCCAGAGGAAACAAATGAAAAATTAGCTAGAAAAAGCATCTGCTGTCTAGCAGTTTGTCATGTTTATTGCATACATCACCCATGGCTGTAGAAATGGAGATTCTTCCTGCCATTTCTTCCCAAAGCTTAACTGATTATTGAAACAAAGCCCTAAAGTCTGAGATTAACAAATTTATTATTGAAAAGGGAATGAGTGAACTACTCAGCTTTCTCCCGAGTTGTCAGCCTAAAGTGAGGTTGTGCCTTTCCTGCTTGAGAACGCTCTCGAAGATATTTTACTTACTGTAGGAGATCACCCTATAGAAGTGACCCGAATCAGTTGAAACTGGCTACAGAGGCAGCAAGAAACAAAGACATAGGCAAGCGTCAATGTAATTACATCGCAGGACAGCATGGGTTGCTCCCAGCTGAAGCCAAATTCTCTTTGATGGTATGTAACAGGCACAGCAGTGTTTAGTCCTCATGAAGTTGCAGATGGTGCAACTTGGAACGTTACCTAGCTCAAAGCTTAAAAGAATGGGGCTACGAGATCATTAACGTTAAGCGAACCTCCCTCACCTGGAGAAGAATAATTTAGCTGCAAGCCCCTGTCTCTACCTTCCTTAGCTAGGCAGCTCCTGACCTGCTATAACTAGTAGAAACGTTAAGCATCAAAGCCACAAAAGCAAACTTGCACTCCAAGCAGAGGGCTTTCTGAAGAGCAAATACCTTTTAAATTGCTTCTTCCCTCAAAATTGCAGCACAGAAGCTATATTTGCAATTGCCAGTTCACACAGCCAATAATTAGCTGAGACACTGTCCTCAATATTACAAAATACAAATCATTCCTTTCTCTCTGGAACGATACTGCTCTGTACACAAGCAAGGGGAAAAATCACATACAAAACACTTCCTTACGTCCCTGGTCAAAGTCACTGGAAGAACTGTGGAAGGTAAAAGGAATGACTGGCAGACAGGCAGATTCTTCCCTCGCTCATGCTGGGATAAATCAGTATGGATATGAAAGGAGAAACACCACTGTTAGAAGCGTTACGGTGAGAAGCTCACTACATGCTGCACTGAGGTTCCAAGTCACCTGTTGTCAGAAAGGCGAAAAAAAAAGTTTTTTTTTTTTTCCCCATATATCATTCCAATCATATGAAAACGAAGAAAATGTCACTTACTTGAGGTCCAAGCAGACCGTTGATTCCTGGGAATCCAGGTTCCCCTTTCTTACCCTGTATGTTCAACAGAAAAGCAAATTACTGAGACTTTCCAAAGTCTTTTACTCAAAAACACGTAAATCAGAGTTAGCAGAGGCACTAAATACAAAGACATGCTAGAAAAGGCGGCAGCAGACTGTTCGGACACGCAGCTCCAGCTGTCTGTCCATCTCTGAACCCTGATAATATTGCACTCTCAGATCCAGAGTCAGTTCCTACAAACAGCATACAAACATCCAGAAAACTGTGCTCACATCTTCAAGCAAACCTATATCCAGGGACTGATGAAAAAACCTGAAGGAGACCTCTTAGCCATAACGCGATGGCCACGTTTATTTTTGTAGCTACAAACAGTACCGGCACACAAGTGGAAGTGGGCAAAAGTACTGAGAGTGCCCAGTGCCATCACCTCAGACATACTCTCAGGACACGGATGATGCTCTGCACCACTACTTCCCTGCAGAGATGCCTGTGCCATTTGAGAATTTGCTCAGTTTCTTTTCCAGACCTGAAGGAACTGATGGGAATGAACCAACTAAATCTAGCTCGGATAGAGTCACAACAAAAAGACAGGCAGAGACAGCATGAAACAGTAAAATGGGGTTAAACTGCCATCAGCAGTGAGTCAGGGCCCACCCTTGCAGCAGCTCTTCTCGAGCTCACTTCCACCGTGAATCTTCTGTTTTCAAGCATAAGAGAGTTCATCGCTTTGAAACCAACCCCCCCAAAAATCAACCTAGCTTATTGACAGAGTTAATGATAAAACTTGTAATAAAAATTCACTTTACAAAATAAAAACTCTCATGTTTTTCAGCAACATACCAGAAACTTGAGCTATGGAAGCCTTAGACTCTTTCTTTAACTCTTATTATAGACATCAGCCTGTTTTGCTAAGATTTCATATTCCCTGCCTCTTCTCCAGAGCTGCGTGCCCGTTATGTGCTCCACCACACCAGCGCTGGCTGCGTCTTCACCGCATTGCCCTAGCATAACATGGTGTACTCTGTGAAACCCCTCTTGAACTGAAAGTTGCTGTAAGAAATAAAACATTCTCTTATTTCTGTTGCATACAAGATCCTGAAAGTGTAATAAAACAAAAGAGCCTTCCAGCATGGATGTCTGTTAACATAATACTTTTTTTTTTTTTTTAAAAAGGACTTGTGTTGAATATAATTTTATTGGCCCTCTTTGGACAGACGTGTAGAGCTGTTGCAAGGCTGTTTCAGCCGGACTGACTGGTTTTTTCTGACTCCTGCCTTAGAAGGCTTTCACCGAGTTTTGGCAAGCGTGTGAGAGGAAAGGGAGGTGGAGGTTGATATTGCTGAAACAAAGATTGGTGACACTTCAGAAATGTCATGAGCTGAACGCATACTTGAGCGGAATGGGCCACAACCACCTGAGCGTGAGCACCAACCAGCCGGAGGGCTTACACTTACCCTACGTCAAGTCATGCCTGGGACATAACAACGCTGGTGCACGGATGAATATAAAAGATTCACGCTCTCTGAGCCAGAAGCCATGAATCCATGAGGTATTTCTAACTAGAGGTGATATCATCACCAAGGGACAGAGCTCAGTGACTCCTCCGCAAGCAAGGTAACTTCCTCCAGAGGAACCAGAGAGATTCCCCAGGGGAAGGGCAGCATAAGCCAGGATCTGCAGGGTACCCTTGAGACAAGTGCACTCGTGTGCATACGGTGGCACCGGCGTTCACCACGGGTTTGGTGAACTCCAATAGGTCACAGTGAAAATGTCCTACATGAGAGAAAGACGAAGAGAGCACAGACAAAGGATGTCTGAAACACTGGAGTAAAGACAAGGTTGATTTGCTTCTCAGCGCACCAGCTGACTTGCTGTGTGACTTTGGGCAAGTCACATATTTTGTGACTCAGCTTTCTACTTGTAAAAATAACCTGTTCTTCCCTGAGGTGTAATAAATACTGAATCATTTATACTTCCGAGATTGTTAGTAAGATAATAGGAGGGCACCAGAGGAGTCATATAAGTATCACAGAGAGAGAAGCAGTTTTTCTTTGCTTTTCTCTACTTCTCTGATTTTTTTTGGAAAGATACTACAATTAAGCAAGTTTTATACGACCGATATGATTTGTCCTACCAATACATAATATATTTCCCTTTATTTTCGTTTACTGAATTATCTCCAGAAACAATCCATGTGATTCCTGTTGCCTTAAACAAGTGAAGCAGCTAAAACAAACACAAACAAGCAATCACATTTTCCCTGGTTTTGCCTCAGTTCACTTAGTTGGGGTGTCAGGATTTGATCTTTTTCTTATTTTCTCATAATAAAAAGTAGCAGAGGAATTTTAGGTGGGAATTAAAAGAGCAGTCACGTATCAGAACAAGTTTACACAGTCATCTTTGGGACGCTGGTACCAGCAAGAACCTGCGTTTAGTACTAAAGTACACGCAGTACTATTCATGAGTGCTCCTGTTCCCGCTTTTTCAACGTTCATCGCTTCTTTGCTTATTCAAAGCCAAAAAAGCCCATTTTCAACCTGTAAGACTCATGTCATCATACAAATCAGCATTTGTTTTCTAAATCAAGACATTAATTTGGCCATTGGCTAAGGCAAATATAACCATGCAAGGGATCCTATTAAAATACTTGTTTAAATAAATAAATCAGCATATGAATATAGTAAGGCTAGCTTAGTGCTTAGAACTGGCTCCCAGTTCATTTTTTTCACTCCCCTTCAGCATCAAACTACACTTTTTCCAGCAGTAACGGAATAAAATGCCTGGAAAGGCAAAAAAAATCTTGTTCAAGTGGGCTGAGACATGGCTGCACAGCAAGGAAAGCCATAAACTGCATCCCACGTTTTCGTCCGTCTCAATACAGGACGTGTCAAGCGACTGCAGGAGCCCCGGCTGTTCGGAGCCCCCTGTGTGTGGCCAGACACAAGGAAACGATTACCACTGCATGCAAGGAGCACACCACAGCCAGCTTCCTATCAACATGGGATCCGTCCATTAAGGCGGCTATTTCCACACCTACAACCTTGATACCAGCATGCAATGCAATATTACAGTTTCCTTCATGCCCCCCTAACGTTGCTGGTCTCTAGAGTACGTACAACCCACCTTGTACCCCCCATTACAATGCGTGCAAGTCTCCTCTGGCTGCATTTAGAGACACTAGTTCAGAGAGAGAAAGGTAGTGCAGAACCTGATATAAACACTTTCAATAACCCTATGAAGGATCCTAATGGAATCAGCTCCCTCAGTTGTTCCTGTAAATCAGACATTGCAAGTTAGGAAACATGAATACACGCTATAGCTTAGGTACACAAAACCATAACAGGCAGTAGGTTGGCATTCAAGCAAAAACAAAAAAAAAAAAAAGTAAAGAAAGAAAGAAAAAAGAGAAAACAACGCAATGAGCTATTTAAGCCTTGTAAGTGAAGGATGAGACAAGATGCGAACAGAATGTAGAGACCTCATTTTGGCTATGCACAAGAGTGTGTCCTTAGCAACTTTATAGCTTAAGGGCATTACTTAGTTATAGTTTGCTGAGCATGCTGCTTTTAGGAAACTTAATCCCGCCTGAGAAAACCGCTTGGGGAACCTCCGGAAGGAGGTAACAGCTCCACCTAGTCCCCAGACCCGTCTCAGAAGCTGGGAAGGGGTAGAGAAGACATAGCTTGCCCGCTGTCATAAATATATACTGGTTGCTCCATTTCCACACTAGTGGCTGGGCAGGCTAACTTGCAGGAGCAACGAGAGGTGTGAAGGGAGCCCATCCTTCCATTGAGTACAACGCTGAGAAAATTTGGTGCTTCTGAAACACTGAAAAATCCCTGAAAGCAGCTTATAATTATATTGACAGGGAGACCGTGAGCCTAATTTCCCATTGTCAAGGGGTAATTTTGGCCCCTCAGAGGCTAGTCAAAGTCAAGCTACAACAGGGTGGCTCTGTAACATTACAGCCTGTCTGGAAAGTATAGAAGTAGTTGCCGGGAGAAATTATACCTATGAGAACAAAGCTCAGTGAAACGTCACATTGCCTAATAACACGACAAGACGTAACTAGCAATTATGCTCTGTTACTTATAACAAGATTCAGCTTAGTGCATAGGAGCATGTACCCTTTGACTGTATGAAATGTATGTTATTTGCCTTCATTGGTAATTTGAATAATAGCATAGCTGTAAATATATTCATTCCCAATAAAACATATTTCTCTTACTGACAATTACAGTTTCGTTCTGGATTTAATCTAGACCACAGTCCTCATCTTGCTTTTTGTTCGTTTGCTTACTTTTCTACTTCTGCACTGCTGAACTTTTTGAGGGCAAACATCTGAACAATTCAAGAACTCTCAAATACACAGCAGCACAAAAAAACATTTGAACGATATCTACCATATAGCAGACAGGAAACTGGGGGAGATGTTGGCTCTGCTCTGCTGGAGGGGAAATGCTGAAAGGTACCATAGCGCAAGACCGTTTCCTATCTTGCTGTCCAATTGCTAGAACACCTAAAGACCAAAATGCTTCCCTAGCATGGTTTTCACTAAAGTTTGGCCCCAGGAATGGAGGTGGTTTTGGTGCCAAGCACATAGGAAGTACCCTTCAATGTGAATATGACTGCTAATGTAAATGCCAACTGTTTCCCTGTAAGCTAGATGGGATGCTAGGATTACCTCTTCCAGCCTGTCCCTTTAACTCAATATTACTAGAGAAGAAATCCCGCAGTGATAATCAATGTTTCAATTCTTAGAGGCACCAACCTTTTACAGCTCCCAGGTGTACTGGGTAACGACAACAAATTAACAACTGAGAATATTTCTGTAGCTTGCCTGAGGATGCCAGTACCACTGGGGTTGGACAGTTTGCGGTTTACTACGGGGACTGCTGTGACAACGAGAAATAAGGACTAGGGGACATTGAGAGAAATAGCTTCTTAGGACTGGCTCTTTCCAAAACAGTTGCACAGGACCCACCGCTGGGCAAACTATTTCTCCTCTCTTTCCTGGCATATTTTTCTAACGT